TCATGCCTGCCTGTAAGGAAGGAGGAGCAATGTGATAGTTCTGTTTAAAGTTCAGCTACTGAACTATGATGTGAAGTTCCCGCTTGACTGGTTTCAGGGTTCCTGGTAACAAGGAACAGACAGTTTGAGAAACTGCTCAGGGACTTGAGGATAATGTAATTTGCCTCTGGCAAATTTTGAGATCTGTTTCAGAATGAATTGTGCTTTAAAAATATCTCCCTCACATGCATCATGGCCAGCAGATTTGGAGTTGTCTGATTTCTAGGGGTCTTGAAGCTGGACCACTTTAGAATTAGACCCAATGATGACAAAAACATCCAATGTCCCAGTTCCCTTATATAACATTTTCCTGTGTGTCCTGGGGTCATACCCATGCCAGCCCCCAAAACACTATCTTTCTGAGCCTTTTGAAAGCAGCACTTCATTGGTCTTGTATCTGTAAACCAATATCTTCATATAGTCCAGGCACACATGGTTTAAAAGCAGGGTTACTTTCTGAGAAATGCATCATCAGGCAATACCATCATTGTATGAACATCAAAGAATGTACTCCCACAAACCAAGATGGCTATGATCTTAGGTGATATAATCCTATGTGTGCTCTGACATTGACTGAAACTCTTATGTGGCACATGACTGTAACTAGAACCTAATARAAGCTCAAAATGTATGTGTTGGTTGAATAAATGAATGAATGAATGTATGTTGGGAAAGGCCAGTGGATGCCTCAGACAGAACCCCAAAGCAGGTGTACCTTGGTCAGATCTCCAGAATCAACTTCAGTTTTGTAGGTACAAAAGTTCAATCTGTGAAAACATCCAAGAGATGGCTACAGATGAGGGGACTTTTTCATGCTAACCATTCTTACAAGTATATGTATGTATACCAGAAAATCAACTTACAAACTGTACATTTATAATTATACACGTGTAAAAATATACGTATACTAGTGTCCATGGACACAGCTTATTCTGCATGATAGCTACATCTTCACAGGGACTCATGGGATAATCAGAGGATTCCAAGAAAGCCTGGAACAGATTAAGATTAATTACACCCCCTACCCCCTGTCACAGTTCCTGAAAWTAGGAAGATTCAGAGGCTGGCCCCAAGAATTCTGGCTCCTTTTGACGTGATAAGGGACAGTCAGGTAGCAAAACCTGTGTACTTCTGCCCCTTGTTACTTCCCTRCCTTTTCTCCTTGAAAGTTCTGCTAAGTTTCAAGAAATTTGGAGATGGGCTCTTTGAAACAATTAAGTTTCTTCCATCTTTCTTCAAAGCAGGCTTTCAGTAAAACCTATTTTCCTACTGATTTGACTCCAAATATTTTCAAAGCAGGGAGCCTAGCCTCTTCTCTCCTGGGAGGGATCTGGACCTGCTGAGTAACACTTCCATTCTGAAAGCTACTTTGCAATGTGACTCCCATCAAGAAGTGGAATCTATTTCCCCCTCTCTTGAAACTGGTGGATGCTTTTGCAACTTGCTTTGGGTTCTAGCCTAATTCAGAAGCACTGCAGTTTCACTCCGCTGTCTGGGAAGCATGCCACCCTGCAGAGAAGCTCAGCCTGACTACTGAGTGAGGACAGTCTGCACAGACAGGAGAGGCTGCACAGAGGTGAATGAAGAAACCTCTGCCCACAGCTAATACCAAGGCCCCAGGCCTGTGAATGAGGTCATTTTGGATACTCCATTCCCCATTTTGGATACTCCATTCCCACCCTAGCAGTCACCACAAGGAACAGAGATAATCCATCTGTGTTAGCCAGATTTTCATTCCTGGCTGGGCTTGGTGGCTCATGCCTATAATCCCAGTGGCTCAGGAGGCTAAGTCATGAGAATTGAGAGTTCAAAGCCAGCCTCAGCAATTAATGAGGCCCTAAGCAACTCGATGAGACCCTGTCTCTAATTAAAATATTTATAAAAGGGCTGGGATGTGATATAGTGATTAAGTGCCCCTGGGTTCAATCCCCAGTACCAAAATAATAACAACAACATGCTTTTGTTCTGATTGAATTCAGACCCTGTTCAGTTACGAAGGGACAACCACATTTAAATTACCAGCGTCTTCCTAACTTATTTTTTAAAAATATTTTTTAGTTGTTGATGTACCTTTATTTTTTATTTATTCATATGTAGGCTGAGGATCAATCCCAATGCTTAACAAATGCTAGGCAAGTGCTCTGCCACTGAGCCACAACCCCAGTCCCACCAACTTCTTAATATTTATTATCTGTCATAAGCCAGGCCTTGTCCCAGAAGCTAATACAACAGAAAACGAGACAAAATCCTGTCCTCAGGGAATTTACATCCTAGGGAAACCTTAGATTGAGAAAGTTCCAATTTTTGTCTCCATATAACAGGAATAGAAAATATGATGGCTTCAAGTACAACGGGCCCTAAAAACAACCTGATGACCATTCAAGCTTTCCCTACCTTCTTTATTCAGCTCATAGAATTTTACATGAGTAAATGGCCAAAGTCATTCGTCCTATATTTTTGAAACATAAAGCAATTTGGGATTACCTCACAGATACACACTTGGGGACCAATAAAATGGAGGAACCAAAATTGCTTTCTGTGTGGAATTTAATATGTATTTTTTAAAAGGATCAAAGACGTCATCATGGGAAAAATCAAATTTTTATTGCACTTCCTAATACTTAAAAATTATTGTATTGTTTTATTTTGAATACTTATGGAATGAAGAGGTCAAGGGAAAAAAATGGAGGAGCATCCTTTGGGGGCACTTAAAAATGGAGTCAGAAGAACTCGTCTGCTGGCCTTCTGGACAAGAACCCCTTCATTCAAACTACCCAAAGACTGAGACCACACCCAATCCCTTTCTATAAAAGTTTAACTTTTGCTAGCACCAATGAGAATTACTCCTTAATAAATGATGTAATTTCCAGCCACCTTGCAGTTTGAASCTATAAATACAGCTACTATCTTGTAAAACCTCAAAGCACATTTTCATTCATGTTTGATTACATGTTTTCCCAGATTTCCAAACTAATTAGTCCCAAATAAATATAATGCACTTTATTCTTGAACTGGTTGAGTTTATTATAAATTGACAATAGTATCATAATCTTTCCAGTGCATAAGTCCTCTAAAAAAATGTGCAGTTTTTCTACCCCTCACTGGATGGTTACTTCAAATACAGAACTTGTTTTCACACAGGGTGGTCATCTTCCAAAACCAGTTTTTATGTGAGTAGAGCTTCCAGATAAATAACTTCCCCCATTCACAGAAGCTCCCTGTATTTCTGGTAGCTTTTACTGAAACCTCTCTGTTAGGATGGCCTTAGGCCTGAGCCTAAGCAACTCCATTTTTAAAACTCCAGTTTGAAATCTGCAGTCTCACCAGGCACACCCACAGAGCCCTCCAGTAAGGCCACAAACAAGTTACTTCCCCTCACCCTGATAAATAGAGTGAAGCCTCTGGCAGGCTGTCCTCCTCTGATAAGAGGGAAAGGAGAGAAGATCAGGGTGGAGACCACCAGACCAGACGTTTCTGACCCTAGGGTAAATGATGTCACTGAGAAATCTGGTGGTAGCTGATAAGAATTGAAAGGGGGGTCAAGAACCCCCAAATTTAGTATAAATAATAGAGCAAATGAACAGGAATTCAGCCAGCCAAAACAAGGATGCACTCCAGCTGGAGAGCCTGATGAGGACCTGACATCCCATCACTTGTCATCATTTCCTGAGCCTCTGTGTGATCTTCCACCGCTCTCAAACTCTACTTCTTTGCCTGGACCTTGGTGAGAGCCGAAACTTCTTACAACCCTGTCCTCAATCTGTGGTCCATTCCACACCAGGAAAAACCTGCCTTGGTTCTGGATCTGATCACCGCGGTCTGAGTGAGTGTGCATCTGCTGGACTTAAAGCCTAAGGCTTAAGACTTTTTAACTTACATGCAGAGGAAATGTCTGTCATTAGACTATCATGATTAAGTGTGTTTTGCAGTGATTAGAATTAATATAGAATTGTTTGCTGCGAATTAATTATGTCTATTGCAGTGCCTAGCATTAGGGATTGTTGTTGTCTTGATTAAGAACCTATAGAGTCAAACTGTATTGAGTAATTTGAGTGAATAAAACATTGAAAGGGGCAGAAGCGCATGGACATTATTTCTCCCCAACTGCATATGTCACAATTTTGCCCCCTGGACACTTTCAGAGGGAAAGCCTACTTAGCTATGTAGGAGGGTAGTAAGTCTTTGATTCTCAAAGGGCACACACATTGGAACATTTAATTCCAGGATGCCTCTGGTCAAAATTTCTTTAGCCACAATCTTTCTCCAAGTATACTTTGTGTGGGTTGAAACCCTTTCCTCTTTTCTTCAGCAGTGCTACTCAAAGTGCTGCCAATCAGGTGACCTAAAAATCTTAAGTCAGCAGTTAATTACCCTTTTTTTGCAGATAAGGAAACCGAGGGTCAGAGAGGTCAACCTTGCTTGCTTTTTTAATTCCTAACTTTCYTTTTCTTTTCAAAATCCACTAAGAACAATGTTTTGAAACCTATATTCACACGAATTACGATGGATTAGGGCGCCTATGCTACCGTTCAATACAATTTATCTTCTCGCACTTAAACCTAATAATCATCACGAACAGGAACAAAGCAAATCTCTGAGGGGTTGACCTGCCTAAGGACACAGCTCCTGACCGAAAAGACGGCACTCCAACCCGACGCGCAAYCCTCATCTAAAGTACCAGCCCTTTCCCGGTATTATTCTCGCTGGCTCTGCGCCTCCGGAAGTCCCGCCCTAGACCAAGAACAGTTTCCGGTAAAAAAATGACTCACAGAAAGCCGGAACTGGAAAAGGGCGGGGCCGCCGTGGCGCTCTAGCATTCCTTTACTCTATGGCCGCCGCCGATTGACAATSCCCCGAGAGGCAAGCTTCCTCTCAATTGGACGCGTAGGCTTGTGTAGGCGGGCCTATGGTTTACCTGTACCCTGGTTGGCTGGGCCCACCATGCGGAGTGGAGGGGCGGTGCTTGGGGCACGCGGACCGAGGTGACCGGCTGCCTTCTCAGCCCAGGTGGAGACAGGCGCATGTGGGCGCTTCGCTCGCTGCTGCGGTCCGTGGCCGGGCGCGCCATGTCTCAGGGACCCGCCCGCCGCCAGCGGCCGCCCAAGGACCCCCTGCGACACCTGCGGACGCGGGAGAAGCGCGGCCCGTCATGGGGCCCTGGGGGCCCGAACACCGTGTACCTTCAGGTAGTGGCGGCTGGCGACCGTGACGCGGGCGCAGCGCTCTACGTCTTCTCGGAGTACAACCGGTCAGTGCTCCGCGTACGGGGTCCGACTGGGTGACTGCGGTGTCCCCTTACTGAGTCCCGCCCCGCCCTAGGGGCCCTACACAGCCCTCGGAGCTGTGTAGCCCAGGAGCTTCGTGGCACCTGTCAGACTCCCACTTCCACACGTGTTGGACTTCACCTCCTGCTCTTTGGGGAGTGTGGGAGAGACCCTGGATGCCTCACATCTCTCGATCCATAAGGTTTCCAGGCTAAGCGTCTTCTTTCTTCCCATCCCTTAAACCAAAGGCTGGCTCTTGGCATTCTCTTTCCGTGCACCCCAAAGGCGTCCTCTTAATTGGTGTGTAGGTTAGACAGATCTGTAAATGAGCTGATGGGAGAGAAGTCCCCTCTCGCCCCCAACCATCCTCTTCAGGCCCCATGTCTCCTGGCCTCTGTTAAGAATTATTCCAAACCTACTATCCTAATAGAAGTCAGTTCACTTGTACAACATATATTTTTAATTGTTTGGCTCACAGTCTACAGCAAAGCATTTTTACTGGTGTCGGAGATTTACAGGATAGACTCTTCTGAGTGTCTTTGGTAATGTTCCCTCATTAGGTATCTCTTTAACTGTGGAGAAGGCGTCCAGAGACTCATGCAGGAACACAAGTGAGTCAACAATTTTCTTTTGGGGATAGAGATGATTATGGGGCTTGAAAGCTGGGATGAGAGACAGGTGTGTTTCTGTAGCAGAAATGGTCTTTGGTCAATCCATTTTCTATTACTGAAATGTTTTCTCTTTCTTAGACTGAAGGTTGCTCGCTTGGACAACATATTCCTGACACGAATGCACTGGTCTAATGTTGGCGGATTGTGTGGTGAGTAAATTCTTTATAGGCTCAGATGCTGATGGAAATTTAATCCGCCTTTCTCTTTTTTTGCCCCTTTCCCAATCTAGAAGAGCTGGGATTTTTTTTTTTTTTTTTAATTGCCAGCCCAGTCAGCTGCAGTTCAGAGCATCAAAAGCTCTGACTTAGAGCCAGGTATGCCTGTAATCCCAGCTAGTGGAGAGGCTAAGGCAWAAGGATCATAAGTTTGAGGCCAGCCTCAGCAACTTAGCAAAACCCTGTCTCAAAATAAAAAGGTCTGGGATGTAGGTCAGTGGAAGAGTGCCTCTGGATTCAATCCCCACTCCTTCAAAAAGAAAACTGTGACTCATCAGGGCAGGTTTTAATGTGGATCTGCCTCCCAGTGTTACTATTCACTTGGTTTCTTGGGTTGCTATGCCAGAGGTTTAACTGGAAAGTAGAGTGGTTAAAGTATGTGTATTTATCATGAACAGCATCATCAGCTGTACACAGTCATGCACTATCCAGGATATCTCATTGTTCATGTCCATTGACTGAGAAGGTCAAGATTATTTTGCAGCCAAATTCTGTAAGCCTGGTAATGTGGGCAGGAGGGAGTGGCATACTAGACTGGTCCCTGATTTCAGAGCTGACTGGGGTAATATACATGAAGTGCCTATGGTGCAATCTATACGGCAGTCCCTTTACTTTGTATAACTATGAGAGTGAACTCCTCTGAACATTTTACATAGTAGGTGCCTCACTGCCTCATCCCCTTATCATGTTTGTCCATTCCAGAAGCATTTGGTGATGTATTGCTGTCTCTTTAGCTAGCATCGTTTCTGCTCTCCAAGAGTTGCCTGATGACTGTGTAGAGGGAGGACATATATAATGACTGTTTAGAAGCTAGAATGAGGACACACAGATTAATAACTCATTAAGTAAAGGGTGCTGCTCTGCCTGGCTATAACTACTGGCCAGGTTGATCAGAGATCTTATTATATTCCTCTTTTTTAGGAATGATTCTTACTTTAAAGGAAACCGGGCTTCCAAAGTGTGTGCTTTCTGGACCTCCACAACTGGTGAGTCTCTCCTGACTCACCTATCAAAACCAACTCCTCCTTTCTTAGTGTTAATTAGAAGAATGTTTATTTTTCCTAATCAGCCTTCTGCCYTCCAGATATAACTGGTTGTGCCGTAAACACATCACCTTTCAAATTAAAAATAAAAATATCCCAATTTAAAACCTTCTCAACTTTCTGGCCTTGAATGAGTTGTTTGCCCCTTTGCCTCCATTTCTTCATCTATAAAGTGACTATGTTTCATACATGTGTTAAAGACTAAATAAGGTAACATATATCAAGCACTAAATCACCTTTTAGATGTTCAGTGCCAAGTAAGTACTTAATAAATTACGATTTTTATTCTTTATTAAATTTCAGGCATCTTCATACCAATGAAGTACTATTAATACTGTCTCTAAAATAATGCCTGAAGTCTGTTTCCATCTCCTTGAGGGTTTCATTGTCTGTCACCCACACCTATTTACAACAATAGCCTTTCATATCTGTCCTTGTAATCCATCTGCCACATAGCAGCTAGAGGGACCTCTTTTTAAGATATAAATGCAGTCAGTTCCCAACCTAAAATGCTTCAGGAGCTGCTGTCCATTGTAATACAATCCACGTACCTTGATATAGCCTACAATTCCCATAGGCCCCAGGTCTTGTCCACACTTTATCTGTATTTGTCACCAAGCTACAACTACAAGGGCTGACTCTAACCCTCTGTCACACCAAAGCACCTCCCATCTCATGGCTGTCATCTGTACATGAATTTCTTCTGCCTCCTCTCATCTCTGTCTGTACCCTTACCAGATATTCAGGGCTCAGCTAAACGGTCAATTCCTCTGGGTCTGTCCTGTCTTTCTAGACAAGTTGACCTCAGCCTGTGCATTTTTAATTGTTCCTATAGTGCACAAAACCATAATTGCCATTAAGATGTTGTATCATTATTTTTTTTTTCATTTTTGTCTCCTCCATTAGATTCATGGGAGTAAGGCTTTATGTCCTTTGCACTGCTAAATCCTTGGCATCACTGTAGAGTAGATATAGTAATTATGTGTATAAATGAAATTCAAAATACTTATTCACATTTGCTTTATGTTCATTGTCTGTTGATTCCATTCGTATGTTTAAATACATTACTGTGTTCTATATTTGTTTAATCATAACTACTCACTTTATTTTTTATTTTCTTTCTTAGGAAAAATACATAGAAGCAATCAAAATATTTTCTGGTCCTTTGAAAGGAATAGAACTGGGTATGTCCTTGGCTGACTCATTGTCTGATATTTCTTTCTCATATACACTCTTCTTCTCAAATTAGAATCCATTAAAACCAGATTCAAATCTGAAAATCAAATACTTCATCCACATGACATGGAATTTTAAAATATTGCTTAATTGCACTTTCTGTTTCCTAATCTGATACCACAAAAATACTGGGTAGGAAGGTAAGAGTATTTTAAAACATGTGCCTACTCATGTGCTGGGCATGTTATGTTCTCCATACCAGCTCCAAGTCTCCTTCCCTAGTCCAAGAGATGGTTCTTATTGCTTGAGTTCCTTGCAGGAGGAAAAGGGGTGTGACAGTTTTGCCACTGACTTTGTAGCTGAACCTCAGCTCCAGCTGTGTCTGGAGGCTCATAGTACTTGGCATCTGGGGATGCTAGCAGGTACCTCATCCCAGGACCAGTCTTTGGCTTGTTAATGCTCCTCTTTTATAGTCACACTAGTCTTTTATTTCAAAATGTGTACTAGCCATTATAATTGAGATGATAGATTCTTTAGCATCATAATCCTGTATGTTAATGTAGGACTCAAGTTCGAGTACAATATTGGTTTCTTTTTAAATTCTTTTTTAATGGATAGTTACCAATGATCACAGCATGTCTTTTCATTCGACTGTGTAAATATAAATGGCTGCTGAAAATACAGTTTTGTTTCTTTCCTTAAAAAATGTTAATCTACTCAGAAACTTTGGTTTTAGTGGCAGATTTCCACCAGAATTCTGGGGCTCATGGTTGCTGATCTTGAAAGCTTATTTTCACATGTGTTTACTAATATAATTACTGTCCTGATTTATGATTTTCACGCAGCTGTGCGGCCCCACTCTGCACCAGAATATAAGGATGAAACCATGACAGTTCACCAAGTCCCCATATATAGTGAGTACAAAGGCCAGGTTTCCTAGGGGAAGAAGGTATAGGTCCTGAGTACGGAAAATGTGGGTGAAACCAAAAACTTTTGAATAATTGCTTTGGGTACCTTGCTTTGTGTTTTGAGCATGATAGGGAAATCTAGTTGAGGAATTCAGATTTGGTACCTGTTCTTAAGAAGTTTATATTCTTGGTGCTGGGGGTATAGCTCAGTTGGTGAGTGCATATCTCACAAGCCCAAGGCCCTGGGTTCAATCCCCAGCACCAAAAAAAAAAAAAAAAAAAAAGTTTATATTCTTGTATCTGTAGGATATGTTGAACTCATGAATATTGATAATGACTGTGCATTGTCAGAAAGTAGGCTGCATTCAGATGTGCATATTCATTGCTTTGGGTTTGTTTGCAATGGATCTTAGTACCCTTCTTTCTTGAAAAAGATTTGTATAGGTCAATGTTTTAAAATAAATACCAGTAACTGCAACCTAAAAGGGTGTTATCTGAACTCAGAAGCTCCTATAAAGTTTCTCAGGTACCAAAACCAGATGATGTGATTTGACTTGGGAACAGGGCATGTCACTGGTCCTTGTGTCTGTTTAAACAGTCCGTGTGAGTTTTACCTACTTGAGAATATTGACTGGTAGGGACATTTACTCAATAGTGCTAACTAGTATGATGCTTGCCAAGTGCTAAAAGGCTGCAGATGAGAACATGTGTAAATGCAAGAGAAGAAACAAGGCCTGTGCCCATCAGAGGAAGAAGGGAGGGGAGCGGTGTGGCTCAAGCAATGGCACAGTGCTTATAGACCAGTTAGAGAATGGTCAGAGTAGAACTTTTCTTGCCTAGCTTACTCTTCATCAGATGTCTTTGGATCCCTTCTGCCAATTCCTTCCACCAGCCTGAGTTGTCTCTGTTGTTTCTTTCTAGCACCCTGTTCTTCCCTTCRTAGCATTTAACAGTTTATATGTAAATGTTTTTGTTTGATCATTGCTTACCTCATTCCGTTTTTCTGATCATGGTTTTCTCAGTGTCCAGTGGGCCTTAAATGAATGAACATAGGTGGAGGAGCAAACATGGGTTCTGTTGAGATCAGCAGATGTACTACAGCTCCTTAAAGCAGCGTTTTTGTTTTTTTTTCTTTTCCCTCAACTTTTTGGACTTAACTCTTCCTCTCATGGAGATGAGTACTCTTTGGAGAGTTTGTTTATGGAGAGAGAGGATGAGGAATAACCAACTTAGAGCCTGTGTGCTTTTCAGTCAGTATTTGTTGAATCCCTATTGTGGTAAGGCTCTGAGCTTTGCAGAAGCATAAAAATGAGTAAGACATAAGTAAGCCCAGAGACCTGGTAGACTGGTAACTAATTCTTTGCTACTGTAATAAAAGGCCTGATGGTTTGATTGGCCTTCTTGCATTCCTGTATGTGAACATCTGGGCTTTGGCTGTGAGCTCACCTTATGTAGTGTGTCATTTGGTTTCCTGTACTGTCCAGGTGAACAGAGATGTGGGAAGCACCTGCTATCAACGAGCCCAGAAAGGCCTCTCGGCAGGCTCAGCCCAAAGCAGTCTTCAGACTCCGGGTCCACTGAAAATGAACAGCACCTTCCAGACGGCAATGGTATAACCCTGCTGGGAAAGGACTTACGTGTCTTAATGCATTGTCTGTTTTTAAGATCAATTTATATTTAGTCGACAAATAATAATTAATGTGTATCTATTGGGTACAAGGAGATGTTTTGATTGATGTAGAAAGGTTCTATCAACATAGCCACCACATCTCACCAGCTTATTTTTATTGAGTGAGTAATTAAAAATCTAAGCTTAGCAATTTTGAAATAAATAATACATTATCATCAACACAGTGGTCACTGTGCCTTATAGCAGATCACTGAAACTTATTCCCAGCCTGACTAAACCTTAGTATTCTTGGATCAAYATGTCCTCTTTCCCTCTCCCTCTACCCTCAGCCTCTGGTTGACATTTTTCTATTCTGTTTTTATGACATCAACATTTTTAGATTCAAAAGATAAGGGAGATCATAGTATGTCTTTCTGTGACTGGCTTATTTCACTTAGTAGAGTGTCTTCCTGTTTGGTCCATGGTGTCGCAAATGACAATTCTTTGCCTCTCAATGCTCTGAATTAGAATTATTATCATAAGAAAGCTAGGTGTACAAAGCATACTTTTTTCTTGGCAGTTCATGGCTGACCAASGGTTGTCACAAAGGGTTGTTAGTCCTGAGCTTTAGGGCCAGTCTACAGCCTGTGTTCTGTTTAGCCAGAGAAGAGCAGGACCTGGCAAAGTCATTCATACACAGGGCATTTGTGTTTTTCTTTAATGRAACATTGATACACATTAGTATTTCAGTAATGCAAAAACTGTAACCACTAAGTTGAGCAAAACAGTCAAATCAATGAATGAATCTGTACCTTTTCTTTCAGAATGACAACCTACTGGGAAACAGAATTAAAAGTCCAAGGTTAGATGTATCAAAGGAATTGGACTGCTCAAGGATTCTTTTGCCCAGTGTTGGGCAGAGCTTGATCAGTTCCTCCACCTGTCCTGAGGTGTGTCTGTCTGGTGTCCAAGAAAAGACAGAACTTGAGTGCCTTCTTGTTTAGGTGGGATGGGTAAAGACTAACAACCACACTTTCCCTGCAGGAAGGCCTTTTAGTAGCATTTATCTTATTTTTCATATTTTTTTACTTGTTTACAAAGCACATCACAATTCTTTTTCTTCATTCCTATGTAAAATGGCCATTTAAAAAATAATTTTACTTGCCATTCTGAAGTTTCTCTGATTGGAGCTTTACATTTTTTGTTTATTAAAATCTCAACATAAGTAGGATAAAAAGAAATCTGAAGAATATTAGGCACAGCTCTTTTTCAATCTTTGTATTGGGATCTTATTAGCCTTTTTTATGTATTATGAAGTAAAACTAGATATGAAGTGATATCCATTTGTGAGCCTAATACAATCTTCACATTTACCTTAGTATAATCAAATGTGTTTTTTTCCTCAGATATTAACCGGAAAAGAGATGGGAGGGACCCTTCCTTGGTGGTAGCTTTTGTCTGTAAGGTAAGAAACTTTCCAAATTCAGGCTTTAAGTGAGCATGTGACAGTYGGTGTGGTTGAGGACCTCTGGTTAGCAGTTTTGCAGTAATTCAGAGGTAATAGTTCCTAGGTTACCTGTGCCTAAAAGAAACACAGATGTCCTGTTTCTCAAAATACTACCTGTACTTTCATATTTTAAATGCTCCATTCATTTATTTATGTATTTTATATTTGCCTATGATTGGTCCTTCTTGGAATTCAGAAGTAGTTGAAGGCAGCTGTATTTGTTTTCCTGCTAATCAGTCAGCCTTTTATTCAGACTCCTTCTGCTGTTTCAATTTTATTTCATTTCACTGTAATCCTTAAGGTGTTCCTATCAAATCAATTTTAATACTGGTTAGCATTTATGGAGGCCTAGATCTGCATTCTGAAATTAACCAATTCCATTTAAAATTTTTATTACAATAAGCTATTTTTAACATCTTATGGTGTATTTTTAGAAGAGTTTTACATTAAAATTTTATTATAATATAACCTGTAACAAATTCTTTTGCCTATTCTATGGTAAGACTACATTTTTTTGTGTGGGCTTTGTTTTGTTGTTGTTGTTGTTGTTGTTATTGTTGTTAAAGAATTAATGTGATTTTTAAAACATATTTGCAGTTTTCATCCAGATTCTAACAGCTACAAGTGAAAACAATTCTGAAGACTAGTAGTAGCAAGCATAAGTTGCAGGATCATGGCCAGTGTCATTTCTAACAACCCCATTTGAATGACAGTTGTAATTTTTATAAAAGTTAAGTACTTGTTTGTGAGTTTTTAGGCAGCAAATGATTTTTTTTTTTTTAAAGAGAGAGTGAGAGAGGAGAGAGAGAGAGAGAATTTTAATATTTATTTTCTAGTTCTCGGCAGACACAACATCTTTGTTGGTATGTGGTGCTGAGGATCGAACCCGGGCAGCACGCATGCCAGGCGAGCKCGCTACCGCTTGAGCCACATCCCCAGCCCCAGCAAATGATTTTTTGAAACTATCTTATATGTCACTCTTTAAATTGTATTAGATTCTTCCYACGTTCCTGAGTGGTTGTGTGAGAATGATGAACTGTGTTTTTGTGTGATACAGGCTTACTCTTACACACTCTAGCATTTGTGTTTTCTTTGGGCAGCTGTTCTGGAGTTGTAGGCTCTGACACTAAGTAGCTGCAGGCTGCTTGCACTGGCTTTTCTCTCCTTCTTTTGCTGTCGCTGTTTCTGAGGGCTGCTCTCATTGGGTCAGCCCGAAGTCTTTCTTCCCTGTTCTAGTGTATTTGCTGCTTCTCAGATGACRGTTTCCATAGCCATACAGTGGGCTATTCAAGTTCTGTGAAGGTTAAGGGTCAGAGAAAATAATCTGTGAGCATGTGGCTTGATAAACCTGAGAGAAGAGTGTGGGCTTTGGGCAGCCATTGGACTGCCTGGTGGGGCCTGGTTGCTTTACAGGTTCCTTTTAACATTAGAAACATTTGGTTTCCATCTGCAGACCCATGTGGGTATATGAAGAGAATGCTTGTTAATGTCAGCTAAATCAAGCATCTTTGTGTGATATGTACCCTCTGAAGCTGCAGACCTTCCTGAAGGATAGATGGTATTTTTGAGATGGTAGAGTTCTAGAATCCTGAGAATGAGACTTTAAGATCCAAATTTGAGACTTGGTCCTAAGAGCAACTTCTTAACTTTAGGAAATTAAGTTTTGTCAAGATTTAAGGAAGCTGGGTGTGGTGGCACACRCCTGTATTCCAGGGCTTGGGAGGCTGGGTAGGTGGGTCACAAGGTCCCGGCCAGTTTAAAGTGTAGCCTAGTGGTAGAGTGTCTCCAGGTTTAATACCCAGTTCTGGGGGGAGCCGGGGGGGGGGGAGAAGAAGAAGAAAAAAAAAAATGAAGATTAAATATATTTCAACAAAAACCTATTAACATCTTGGGTCATTTGGGACTTTTTTTCTGTCATGTATGAAATAGATCCCAAAAATGTTTAGATAGAAGTTTAAGTTCAGGGCAATGATTATGAAGTTTTGTGATAGGATTATTGTCCTTCTAACAAAGTAAGAGCATACTATGAATTTGTTATTATAATTTTTCTGGATTATAAAAGCAATAATACTATGTTCCCAAATGTTTGAAAATGCAGAAGGAGAAAGGCCTGTCCATGTTTTTCTTTCCACTATCATGGGAATATTGTGGTATGTAGCAGTTTGCCTGGTCATTGCCTTGTTAGACAATGTCTTAATGATGATCTTTTAGTTATTAATTGATGAATATATACTAATAAAACAGAACCCAAGTATGTTTGGGTTTCTCCTGAAGGATACTTTTATTAATTTTTATATGGAAACAGTTACATTTTATCAAATTTATAATGAGTTAATGTTGGGGGAAAATAAAGCACTGTTTTAATTCATTCAGATTTTTAGTTCTAAAGCATTGCAAAATGAGCAACTTCCTCAGAATATTGTACCTTCTGAAAACAATAAACTTCAATGTAATGGATTGTATGAAAATAACACTGATTTTAAAAAGTAAAAACCAGAAAGATACACTYCTAAGAAAGTTGGTTAAAACCAGGCTTCTTCCTYAGCCACTGGAATTGCTTTTGTGTTCCCTTTGTTACAGCTTCATGTGAAAAAAGGAAACTTCTTGGTGCTCAAAGCAAAGGACATGGGCCTTCCAGTGTGAGTGCTGGGGATCAGACTGCTGGGGACTCGCTGGGTGCACCCTTATTCCTGAAGAGAGGGCATCTCACAGAGGGCCTCCCTCTTCATTTCAGTGGGACAGCTGCCATCGCACCCATCATTGCTGCTGTGAAGGATGGGAAGAGTATCATCTATGAAGGGAAAGAGGTGAGGCCTGTTTTCCATGATGATTCTGTGGTTTCGGGTGGGGTCTGGGACACTAGACAGAGCACTGTCTGGCTCATACCCTACAAACACCACTTTTGAAGAAAGTAGGACAGCCTGTAATTCCATTGCTTGGCTCCATGATAGAGCTCTTATCTTGACTCTTCCTGCTATCAGTGCTGCTGTGTTTGGGCAGTACTTATCTGTTCAGGATCTCTTGTCTTCTTATGCAAGGACAGATGCTCTTCCTTGTACTAGAGCTCAGGGCAGTGTCCAAAAATAGATTTCATAAGGATGGACTTTGGGTACTTGACTCAGGAACAACACTCTGCCCTTTATCCAGATGAAGTCTTCTTTGGTGTCTGAGGATGCAGTGGCCACAGACTAAAGACAATCTTGAATACCAAGCTTCATTTACTGGCCACTGTAGGTTCGAAATGCCTCCACCAACTAGTTGTCTAAGTATAAGCAAAGAGCAAGGAAGGTGTAGTGGTAATAACTCTACTAGTTGGTCTTGTGTTCTGTATACTTAGATATGGGTTGTGTAATGTTAGCAGCTGCCCTGAAGGCCATCCAGTTGGGAGAATATCAGGACCCCATTTGGTTTTGCAGATTTTGCCTGAAGAGCTCTGTACACCCCCAGATCCTGGTGTTGCATTTATTGTGGTTGAATGTCCAGATGAAGGATTCATTCAGCCCATCTGTGAGAATGCCACCTTCAAGAGGTAATAATGAGGGGTCCCTGGGTGGAAGAAGTAGGAATCAGTGCTTAGGAAACTCCGCCCATATAAACACAAGCATCTTGGGGATACAGCTGTGTATTTGGGGTAAGCCCTGCATCTGTGTTTGAAATGTGTGTAAATCCTACTGGTAGGATTTATGTCACTACTGGTAGGTGGAAGGTTTTGTGGTATACACAGCCTTGAAGTGAAAGTAGAAACAACTAACAACCAGAAATCACCAAGGACTAGAAAATCAAGTAGCAATCTTAAGAGTTCACAGTCTAGAATAAATCCTTAAATGTTCTTGAGTTCTAATTAATGCCTCAACTCACTATTTGGATTATTTTTACCTACATGAATTCTTTTTACTTCCCTGCATCTAACCTAATGAGAATGAGACCACAAGGTCAATTGGAATTTCAGCCTGGGACCATCTTTCAGGTCTGAGTGTCATTTTATTTTGTTCCTCTGAAAAAGTTAATCAGTTTCACAGTTTAGCTTCAACCGTGGGTAGAATTTTTGACCATTGTGTCTGTCTTAATTTTTTTCCTTTTGTTAATTTTTATATCAGTTTCTAATTTTTACCCATCTGTGTTTTTTCACTTACTATTTTATTCTATTTATACAACAAATCTTTTTGGTCTGTGGTACCTCTTAGTTATAGTGTTAGGAGTTCTTTCTGAGCCCACTTTATTCTGTGGGGGTGAATTTGGGTACTCTGGTGGCATAGACTTTGTTTTTGTTTGAATCAAGTTTTAGGCAGCAAGTTACTTCAAGTCACCGAGGTGTCATTTATGAGCCCTGTGCATGTGTGTGATGGTGGTGGAGGAAGATAAATAAAATAAGCTACTGTGTGAAAAACATTTTTTTAAAGGGAGCTAGAAGGAARCATCCCCATGGTAATAAATGGTCTTCCCTCTGGACAGTGGGATTGCAGGGAGTTTTCATTTTCCATCTTGGTGCCTGAGGTTCTCTGGAAGGCAGGTCCCAAGGTGGAATTGGAGGTGCAGGACATTGGCCTGAGGAAATAACTGCTTGTTAGAGATGAAGAAAGGAGGGAGCCCCAGTAGTCAGGGAAAGGACAGGAAGAAACTCACACCTCAGTGTCGCATGAAGAAGCTCAGCCAGGACGACCAGAAAGAAGTCTAGAGCAGAGCTTGTCCAGTCGAGGAATTCTGTGTGGGGGACATGGGTAGTGTAGGTGACATGGCCAGTTCTGGGCCAGCAGTGCTCAGGCACCACTGGGAGCAGCTTAGGGACCACGCATGGGCATAAGATGTTACCCTCCCCGTTGTATAGTCATTGTTTTACATCCTGATTTTTTTTTTTATCATTTTATCAAGTAATACCACATTCTTCCTCTCCCTAGGTACCAAGGAAAGGATGATACCCCTGTGGCCCTGGTGGTCCACATAGCCCCAGAATCTGTGCTCCTGGACAGCAGATACCAGCAGTGGATGGAGAGGTATGGAGCCCAGCCCAGGGCACATGGGCAACTCTTCTAGGCAGTGGTATATTTTTCCTCATCCCACTGTTAAGTGCAGCCTACCCTCACTTCTGTTTCTGYCTGAATTTCCTCTGGGTTCCTGCCACGTAATTCTGGGAGCATCCATCTCTGCCACTCTTTGAGGAAAATAACCACCACTAGGTGSCATAGCATATACACATTTCCCTCTACTATAGGGCTTGATTTAAGTCTTACACACTGTTAGTGATGTTTGAACAATACTGTCTTTTAGTTGATAATCCCACTAAAGAAGAGACTTGCAAATATAAAATAATAGCTTCTGCTGACTGGACGTCCACTGCATGTCAGGCAGTGTGTTAAATCCTTGACAGGTCATTTTATTTCTTGATTTATTATTCCCAGCATGCTTGGGATATGTATATTTCACTACCATAGTTTAGTAACTGGGAAGAGAGGGCCCTGGATTTTTTTCTTGTGTTTTTTTTTTTTTTATCAAGCACAGCCAGCACTCAGGGCCATGGGTGAGGCCCGAGGGCAGTAGGGATGGGAAGAGCCTGAATTGAGCTCAGGTGCATGATGACCTTGGGTTGCTCTTCAGCTCCTCCCTTGCTTCTCCCCATACAGATTTTTCATCTCCATCTTCTCTGCCAGTCTCATGCTTTTCAGTTCCCTTGTCTTTCATTCCTTGAGGGTTGCAATGTAATATATGCTGTCTGTTTTACTCTTATGCCTTTCATCTTGCAGCCTGCACCCCATTTTGTTTTCAAATCCCTATCTGAGCATGTTAATTTTCCTTGGTTTTTCCACCATCCTCTCTAGTACACTCTGAAGGCAGCTGCAACAGAATACAACCAGGATTACTTCTGCCCATGTAGTAGCTATTTAGGAGCAAATGATGTACTTCTTTGAATACTCTGAGCACATTAGTGCTCCCAGTCTGCAGTGTTTGCTTATTTGGGACATTTTCAATTTTTTCTGTTCTAATGAAAGTCATAACCTAAAGCATAATCAAGCATAAAGTCATGTTATGCTTGATTTCTCCGTAGGTTTGGGCCTGACACTCAGCACTTGATCCTGAATGAGAATTGTGCATCAGTCCACAACCTTCGCAGCCACAAGATTCAAACGCAGCTCAACCTCATCCATCCAGACATCTTCCCCCTGCTCACCAGTTCCCAGAGTAAGGTAGCGTCCCAGCACAGCCCCTGTCAGCCTGGCTCCTGTCCTTTTCTTTCTCACCATGGAGTGTGTTCCTGTCTCTTTCAGGAGGAAGGCCCCACCCTCTGCGTGCCCACAGTCCAGGGAGAATGCCTCCTCAAGTACCAGCTGCGTCCCAGAAGGGAGTGGCAGAGGTGTGTGCGGCTCTGAGCCAGTGCGACCATCTGGGCTGGGGCTGGGGGTGGGCAGCCTTTTCTGTAAGTGGATGGATAGCAGATGTTTCAGGAAGGTTTTTCAGGCCAAGTGGTCTCTGTCACAAGATTCGCTGTGTCATCCTAGCACGAGGGCCACGGACAGTGCATTAATGAAAGTATATAGCGAGATGTATGGTAAAGAAAGTCACCCACTACCCTGCCACCTGGAAAGTGATACTTAGCATTTTGTTGTTTTTAATTTGTGTATATGGGGATATAATTAAAAGTTCTGTATGTGGGTTTCTGGCCTGAGAGTGCCAGTCTCTTTCTGTATCATTAAATACTCTCCAGTAACAGGATTTTATTGGTGTTTTAGATAGGGATGTTTGCTTATTTGGGACATTCTCAATTTTTTGCTGTTCTAGTGAAAGAATAAATGTCTTGTCTGAGTATGTTGGAGTAGAACTCTGTTCCCTGAAGGTCATTCCTAAATGTGAACTTACCGGGTCAGAGTGCAGCACTTCTTTACTCACCGGATGATGTACATTGCCACTTGGAATACCTCTGCCACTTCCATCCAGCGAAGTGAAAAATTCTTACCATCTCTCAACTTTATTTTATTTTTTGAGATCTGAATCTGGAGACTTTTTAAGTTTCCTGTGTACTTTGTAGTTTTAGAATACTGACTCCCCCAGGTTATGACTGGTCACGTGTACCCTTGTGGCTAAATAGTCAGCACTCTTGAGAAGCCTTGGTCCAGCACTCTTGTTTGTAGAATTCTGGCCCAAAGGAGCCATCTTGAGCTGAAGAGCCTGCTGCTSTCTCTTTGTTAGCATCTGCACAGGCTGTTATATACATCAGTGACCAACCTGGCCAATATTCACATTTACCTTATGCTTATGAAAAATGCAGTTCTTGGGTTCTTCCCAGACCTGCTGAGTTAGGATCTTGCAATTTAGGCTTGGGGCWTACTTCTTAAGTGCTTAGATAATTTTGATGCTCAGCTAGGTTGAAGCGAGACCAGTCAAGGCTTTGCTGCTCACTGGGTCAGCACTGGGGGCTTGCTGGAGGTGTAGGTTCTCAATCTCCACCCCAAGCAACTGGTGAGGCTCAGCATTTTGCTGAAGTTCCCGTTGGATAAGCTTCGTACACTTGAATTTGAGTCATTCTCTAGGGCCTTGTTTTTCAAGCAGAGCCATTTGGTAATGTATGGAGAGAGTTTTCCTTGTCACAACCTGGGATGGGGTAGTGGCACAAGAGATGCTACATAGGATAGGCCCCCACCACAAGGAGAGTCATCCTGTCCCTGGGAATTAGTATAGTGCCCAGTTTTCAGGCTTTGAGGCCAAAAGATATTGTGAAGAGTTGCATTTATTCAGAACTCATAGTGAGCTACCCTCACTTGTCTCAAGAAAGTTCCAGAGACAGAATAGAAATGTGCCATCTCAGTCACTTGGTCTTTGTTCTTGATCCAAAGGAATGCTCTGCACATTGTCCCCATGGATTTTGATTGTGCATAGGCAAACCAGTGTTTGCTGAGCCTGAACACCCCCTTTAGTCACCAGCGATGCCTTTCTCTGCAGGGATACCGTTATTACTTGCAATCCTGATGAATTCATAGCTGAGGCCCTGGAGCTCACCAATTTCCAGGAGAGTGTGCAGGAGTATAGAAGAAACATGCAGAGCAGCCCAGTCCCTGCAGGTGAGTGGAGGACCAGGGATAACCTTTCTCCTGGGCTCTGCCTACCTGCAGGTGTCCTGACAGCACCAGTCGGGTACATTCTAACCTGCTTTATTTATTTAACTCAGGACTTCTCTACCCTGGCTCTACATTAGAATCATCAGAGAAGTAGGGTAGAGAAATTCAAGAATTCCAGTCCCAGTCCCACCCCAGACCAATAAATTTCAGTCTTTGTGGTAATACCCAGGTGTCCTTCAGAAGTTACCTGGGACACTTGTGAGACCCTCTGTAAGGCTTTGACCTGGACCTCTGCTGACCTGGAATCTGGTCCTGGGTTTACTAATCAATGTTCATGGAAGATTCTGGCCTGCCATATTGGGTTTTCTGGTATTATTTTAAGTAAGAGATAGATAAAGGGAATGCTGGAATAGAAGGAGGGTTGGGGCTTTAATCTAGCCAAAGATCTTGCTTCTCTGGAGTCAGCACCAGGTAAGCCACAGAAGTAGTAGTACATCTTAATTTCTTCCTGGTTGGGAAGACCAACTTCCTAGGAGTTCCTTTATATTCCATTATAATTAGTCTTCTGATATGTAGAAAGCAAAAGACTCGTTTTATTTGTAGATTGCTTTCAGAGGTGCGCAAAGGCTGTTGGGCTGAGGGAGGCCCAGGAAGGGACACGGGCGTGGCAATCATGGGTTTCTCTGGATCTGACTCCTCACTATCTCCATGGAGACCAGGCCTTCTGAGCCTGCTTTCTCCCTGGCACAGCAGGGTGTTTCCTACCCAATGCAGTTGTATGAAGAATATGGGGACAAAAGCAGGTGCAAGGGAGATGCCACTTTCTTGAAATAAATGGCAATTCAGGGTTTAAAGAAATCTCTCCCTTTTTTTTCCAATTTATTTAAAAAGAATTGGAGTTTTTTGTTTTGCTTTGGTGTTTTTTTAAAGAAAAACTGTAGAATGTGTTTGTTCTATCTCCAAGATGGCCCTTCCCTCACAAATTGCCCGCAGGTCTCACCCTAATGAGGAAGCCTTTCTTGTGAGTCCACTAGCACCCCTCCTGGGAGGTTGGACTTCATTGTTTTTCTTAACTTTGCTCATTACTGAAGCTTGGCTCACTTTTGACCCRAAGAAATGGATGTTTTTTATGTGTTTTCTATAGAGAAAAAAAGCCAGTATCCAGAAATCATCTTCCTGGGAACGGGGTCTGCCATCCCCATGAAGATTCGAAATGTCAGCTCTACGCTTGTCAACCTGAGGTATCAGCTTTCCCAGAACACCTGCACCCATCAGAGAGCAGGCTTATTATGCTTATTTTTTAAATACAAGTGCTTTTCCACTCACCAGGCTAAATTTGAAAGCATGTTGGTAGGAAGCCCTGTCAGCTAGTTATAGTGACTCTGCAGATATATAAATGTAGGAAGTGAGATTGTGGAGTACCAGGTTAGCTTTTAAATTTCACTGTATCTTCTTAGATGCTAATGAAAGATGATCGGCCACCAAACAATGTAGCAGATGCAAACAATGATATGAAGCATACTGAAATCTGAAACTTGCAAGTCTAGGGCATCTTTTTCTTTTGACTGAGAAATGCAGTGAAGTGGCTCAGTTTAGGGCCTCACCTGGGGGCTGAGATGCTCATAAAAGGGCTTCTCTGATTTCCAATCCCCAATCCCTGAGAGTGGCAACTTGAACCTGCTAAAGCTAATCAGAAGAGGTGCTTACCAGCTTGCCTTCCCCACTTGTGCTTTCCCCTGGAARGCCGTGTCAATTTGAGGGACCTTTGCAAATGGGAGGAGCTGAGCACTTCTCCCAAGAAGGAAGAAGGACAGAAAGGTAACAGCACTCTCCACCTTAGAGTGTGGCTTCCAAACAAAAACCACCGTAAGCTGTCAGAATTGAAGCTCTGTGAGCCCCACCTGGGACCTACCAGGTCAGACTGAGTAGAAGCCAGAGTCTAYGCTAACCAGCTCCTGCATGGAGCACATGGAACCCGTCATGCACCAGGCAGCTTTGAGGAAACCAGAGATGCTTGGAAGAGCAAGAATCCTGTGGCAGCTGGCACTAGAACAGTCTCGAATACATAATGTCTGGCCTTTGTATTCTCCACAAAGGTGTTGTCTCATTCCATCTAAGTATTTTAGTTTCTGGATGCCAGCATTTGTATAGATCTATGGTCTTCAGGGTTCTAGGGATCATTCTTTTATAGAGAGAGGATTGATCATTTTAAGTTATTGTAATGGTGAAATTAATTGGCTTTTATACAAGCTCCCCACAAAACGGTACAAGAGTTTATAGAAGGCAGATACCTGCATAACTGCTGCCTGTTCTCTGCTAAAGAAAGCATCACTCTAAACTGTCCGAAGGCTCTCTTGTTGGTGACACTTGCTCCTCTTCTATAGCCCGGACAAGGCCCTGCTACTGGATTGTGGTGAAGGCACGTTTGGGCAGCTGTGCCGTCATTATGGAGACCAAGTGGATAGGGTCCTGGGCACCCTTGCTGCTGTGTTTGTGTCCCACCTGCATGCAGACCACCATACGGTGAGTGCTCATTKGGACTCGGGCGTCCTAGCCCACTGGAAGGAGCGGCCTCTGCCTATTTGCACTCACGCTTGCTTTCCTGCGGTTTCCAAATGCACCCAGAGCCCTGTGATTCTTCTCTGGCTGGGGTGAAGTCTTCTGTGAAGCCCCAGCTCAGGCCTATTCAGTGAGGACGTCTTTTCTTCTTTGCTCTTTCAAGCGGCAGTAAAGGTTTTGCTTCACACACTTCCTGAATCGCCTTCTCAAACAGCCCGCCCCCGTGAAACTGGGCAGATGTGGGAGACAGGGCTGTGAGGGCCTTGCTTGGGTCTTCTAGGGGTTTCTGGGTCCCAGCCATTATCCTCTTTACCCACAGATCATCTTGTTTTTAGCCCATTGTATTCAAAGTCAAGCGTCATTGTCACCCCAACTGTGGCAGCTCTGAAGGGTTGATTATAGAGGTCAGAAATACTGTAAGATGAGGACCGTAGAACCTTCATTTGCAGAAGACCATGGGGTTTGGATCTCACTAGTGACTTGTCCTTTTTTCTTCCCAGGGCTTGTTGAATATCCTGCTGCAGAGAGAGCGTGCTCTGGTAAGTGAGCATTTTGAGTTTCTTTGGTTCATACATTTTGAGTTTCCTTGGTTCATACATTGGCAGCCACACTTCCTGACACACCATCATGATTGACTTGTTCTGTTGTTGACTCTGCCCTGGGATCTCCTTTCCTTGTCACAGGTGTCTCTGGGAAAGCCATTCCACCCTTTGCTGGTGGTAGCCCCCACCCAGCTCAGGGCCTGGCTGCAGCAGTACCACAACCAGTGCCAGGAAGTGCTTCACCACGTCAGGTGAGCATCCAGGGCAGCTGACCCAGGCTATGGCCTTTACCCCGGGGCAGCTGGCAGCCCTTGGCAGCCCTTGGCAGCCCTTGGCAGCCCTTGGCAGCCCTGCCCTAACAACGTCTGCTTCTGTAAAGCTTTTCTCCTCAGCCCTCACTTCCATTCTGTTGCCTAGATTTTGGCCAGCATTTCTCCATTAGACAATTCCAGACACCCAGATAGTTGAAGCACAGAAACCATCCACCCCAGGTGAATGAGTGGATGGGAGTTGGCCCTGTCCCCAGGGGACAGGGGAAGCGTCATCTGCCTGGTGTCATCCATGGCCTGCGCTGCCTAGATGCAGGGGAGCCTTCATCTGCTAGGTGCCTTAGAGTGAACAGGGAATGGTTGGCTCTAACTTGATCAGTCTCCCCAGCTTGATGACTACAATTCATACTGTTTCATTTTAAAGCTCTCTAACCAAGGACCTGCATTTTATTCCACGTCTTTAGTGATTGTTTTTAATGCTACTGTAATTTTTAAATATTTTGACTTCTTTTAGTATGATTCCTGCAAAATGCCTTCAGAAAGGGGCTGAGGTTAATAATCCCACAGTTGAAAAACTGATCAGATTGCTGTTGGAGGCTTGTGATCTGGAAGAGGTAAGGGGCACAGCTGTGGGCCCAGAAGAGGGCGGGGGAGGGGCCAGGCCCAGCCTCTAGCCCTGCTCCTTCAGTTTCAGACCTGCCTGGTCCGCCACTGCAAGCACGCTTTCGGCTGTGCCCTGGTGCACACGTCTGGCTGGAAAGTGGTCTATTCGGGGGATACCATGCCTTGTGAGGCTCTGGTCCAGATGGGTGAGTAGAGAGGAAACGAGCCTGGGTAAGGCGTGGGGGTGGGTGTAGATAAGCATAGGGCGTGTCCACAGAGACAGAAGACTTGGGTTCCCCCTCACACCGCGTGGCTGCCATCCTAATGTGCAGAGGAGTCACAGGGCCAAGGCTGCTGCGTGTTGGGGTCAGGACACAGCTGTAGATCCCAGGGCCACATGCTGCCCACCTAGAGGGCTGCACCTCAACACAGCCTGTTTCTCTCTCCAGGGAAAGACGCCACCCTCCTGATACATGAGGCCACTCTGGAAGATGGCATGGAAGAAGAAGCAGTGGAAAAGACACACAGGTAGCAGAGACCAGTTAGTCCTCCCTGTCACCTCCTTCCTCCCATCAAGTGAAGCCCCAACAGCCCACGTTTGTCCCCGGGGAAAGACAGTGCTCTCAGTGACACAGGGCTGGCTAGCTTCCAAGGCTGAGGGGGCTTCCTGAGCCCACCAGTGTCTTCAGGCCTTCTGCCTCTATTTTTGCAGTTCCCTAGGTTCTAATGGTGAGGCATGGTGTTCTTAACGAGAGAAATAAGCTGGAAGAAACTATTAAGTCACATCAGGGAATGACCAGGGGAAGGCAGGGGCTAGGGTGGGGAGGGGGGCTGAATATTGGGCTGTCTGAAGGAAGACGTGCCTTGACCTCCGTGGAAGCTCCCAGATGTTTCCCAGGTGTCCTCCTTGATGAAAGCTGACAGCACAGAGTGTGGGCCTCCTTTAAGGAGAGGAGAAGGATCAGGCTAAAGAGGTGCCAGTTGAGAACATCCTTGGCCTTCCCTCCCTGGGGGCCCCAGCAGCAGCAGGGCCAGCGCCTGAGCTAGTTCTCAGCCTTGGAGCCCTGCCCTGTGGCTTAGCTTCCCTGGCTGCTTGTCCTTGTCCTGCAGCACTACCTCCCAAGCCATCGGTGTAGGGATGCGGATGAACGCGGAGTTCATCATGCTGAACCATTTCAGCCAGCGTTACGCCAAGATCCCCCTCTTCAGCCCTGACTTCAATGAGAAAGTGGGAATCGCCTTTGACCACATGAAGGTCTGTGTGTCACGTGGGCTKTGTGTTTGGGGAGAGTGGGGAGGTGCAGGCTCCTCCTTTCATTTTCTTTCCTGCTTGGGGCAATGAAGATAAGAGGGTCTGTCACTAACCAGCATCATATCCAGGGTACGATGCAGAGACCCACCTCCTGTAGGGTCTGCTGGACATTAGTCCTAAGGACATTGCCTGGACTGCCCCAGTCAAAGCACTGGAGCCTCAGGACAGACCTGAGACAGGTGCTCACATGTCACGAGTGATAGAGCCAAGCCGCCTTGACATGAGCTTGCACCACCTTTCCTGAGGCCTGTGGTTTTGCCACCCTCAGCCAGGAGTGGGGAGTCTGCTGCTTTCTCTAGAGGGCTTCCTCCCTCCCTGCAAAGCCTTCTTTTCAGTTGGAATTTTAGTCACTTGGCTTAAGGGTGTGTCAGGGTGGGGAGGTGGCCCTGCTCCTGGAGAGTGAGCGCAGTCTCCTTATTCCCAGCTCTTGTCCCTCTGAGGCATGTTCCTATGGTGTGTCTGGCCTCCCAGGTTCATTTTGGTGACTTTCCAACCATCCCAAAGCTGATTCCCCCGCTAAAAGCCCTGTTTGCTGATGACATTGAGGAGATGGTGGAGCGCAGAGAGAAGCGGGAGCTTCGGCTGGTGCGAGCAGCCCTCCTCTCCCAGGACGGGGAGTCCCAGCAGAAACGTGCCCACACGGAGGAGCTGCAGAGCCCACAGAGTAAGAAGGTCAGAGCCTAGAGGAGGTCTGGACCACCCTGCACACTGAAGGCTGTGTGTGTCTTCTGCCCTCTGTGGCACCCACTCTCCTTATCCTGGTGATCAACCAGGACGCAGTTCTGGATGGGTGTGTGGCGGCATGATGTGGCCTGGGCTCCAGCATAAACACCAGCCTGCAAGACGCCTCCTGTGACTGGTGCCTGGCACAGCTGTGGGACAGGAGGCTGCTAAACAAGAAAGCTGGTGCAACTAGAATTCTAACGCAAGTCGGTATTTAAGGAAGTCATGTGGACACGGGCAGCACCCCTCACCTGGTCCAACCAGGTGGCTCCCTCTGCAAATCAGAGACATGCCAAGTGACAGGTGACATTGGGTTTAGGTATTCCAGACTCGAGGGATAGTATTCCCAGAGAATCAGATGCAATAAAGATGGAGTTTGGAATCCTGAGTTCTTTGCTTCCTTCTGGTTTTGCTTCAGAGCAGGGTTGTTATGCCAGCTTCCCAGTGTGCCCAGGAAAGCTCATGTGGCAGGAGAACCTTTCCACCCCCAGGGGAGCCACCACTCTTCTGAGTCTTGACCAAAGCCCAGCCATACAAGCTCCTTCCAGTGGCTTCAAACATCTATTGAGCGCCTGATCATGGCAGGGGAACAGGGCGTCCAAATCTTCTCATTGTTCTGGCTAAAAGTAGAGATGATCAATTTGTTTTCTCTTGCTCATAATGAGAATTACTCTTTGCCCTTAAAATGTACAAAATATCACATCGGGTTGGCTTCCTTGTGGGATTTCAAAACACAGGTTAGCACTTGAAACTCAAAAGAGAATTTTCAAAGTTGAATCTAGTATTTACATCYTCTCCCTTCCCAGGAGAATATTGGAGGAGCTTTAAAACAGGTGAGAGAGAGAGAGAGAGCAAGGACTTGGCCTTCCCTGGTGGTGAACTTCAGACCTCCTGACACAGCCCAGGAAATTGATAACTGCCCCACAGCTTTGTTATTAAAACGAGAACATACGCCAGCTCAGGGATAATAAATCTATTTTAATAACATTACTTTTGACAACAATTTGTACATGTATTTAAAGAGAACTTTCAACTCCCGGGCTCCATTACAAACTGGGGGTTGAACTGCCCTTGCCAGGAAGTGAGCAAAGCTGTAACATCAAAAGTCCGCAAATCCCACTCTCAGAGAAGGGTGACTTTACACTGTTGGGAAAAATAACTAAGCATTTAAATTTTTTCATTGTACACCTGTACATCAGTTTTGATTGAATGGCTCAAATTAAACAAATATAGATTTTATATATACAAATATTATATCATGTATAGGTATATTATATCTATTTTAAAAGGATAAAATTTGAAACTTCAACTGCATGCATGGCCCAGATCTGTTTCTCACTCTCTTAATCCAAAGTGCAAACAGGCTTCCCAGTGCCTCCCGACCCTCCTCCCCAGAACTGGATGGGACTTCATGAGAAGGGATGCGCAGGGGATGCTGGTGAGCAAAGCGGGCCCACCACCGCGTGGACCAGCGTCTCTGCAGGCTGGTTTTACTCTCCTCGACCTGCTCTGGGTAAACAGGATTATTGCTATTCAGCTGTAACCTCCAGATTTAGAGACCAGCTCCAGGACCCCACATTCTAGTGAGCTGGATGCCTAGAGGGGCCAAATAAATGACTGACAGACTTAATGGGTTTCAGGGGGATGGGGAGCTACCACGGACTCTCCAGACATGGTCAAGATCCTCTTTTAAATTCAGAAGTATAAAATGATAGGAGTAAAGAACTTTCAGTCATGAGGGGGGACAGAAATTTAGGTAGCAAATGTTATAAGCCATTATTTTGGAGCCCTCTGATGAAGGGTAGCCTAAAGGTGTTGCACRGGCCGGCCCTTCCCTGGGCATCAAGCAAAGGTCAGTGACCAGGACTTCAGGAATTCCAGCCCTAGTCCAGGTCTGAGTGAAAAGTCCCCCTCCTGTCCTGCTTCCCTTCTGGCTAATACACTGATATTCCAGGACCTGACATTGCCTGTCCCAGTCCACAGTCAAGGCAGTGGCCCTCGTGTGTAACCAGGTAACAACCCTCTTTCACACCCCCCACCCCAAAGGACAATTCTGACAAGCAGGCCCTTGGGTGGAGAGGTGGGTACTACTTGTCATGGAGGCTGAAAATGGATCAAAATAGGCACAAAGTCAAAAGGCAAAGGTCAAACAAATGGCCGAAGTCACCACCCATAAGGAACAAACAAAATCTGCACCACCGACATTCCCCACATGGACCAGAGATTGCAGTTTTCTGCCGAACTCCAACCTCACGTTGGAGGTGACAGGAAAGAGCCAACAGAGGATACTTGTTGAGCTCAGGGACGCTGCTCCTGGCGGCGTGTCTCCGGGGCCCATGTTATGTTATGTACACGCGTGTTGGGGGCAGGGTGCTGTGTCAGAGGGCGGTGCTCTCAGATTCCTCCTCCGAGTCCCTCTTGTCTGTCACTGAGTGTCGCCTTGCGTGCTCCAGGGGGCTCAGGCGGAGTGTCGATCCCAGCTCTATGTGGATGGAGGGGATATCAAAGTGGACAAGATCTGCAAGTTGGCAGAGAGAAAGAGAGTTGAAAAGGAGCTTCTGGCTAACCAGAGGCTAACTGCAGACAAATAATGTCAGCATTGGGAAGCAGGGTGGTTTGTTCCTTCTAGGGCCAGATCACTTGGAGGTTTGTTTAAGCATGTSACTGCATGATTCAGCTGTGGCCAGGTCCCATCATTTCTACCTTGAGGGTGGTTAGGATCCAGGTTCTGCCACAGTGGTTCAGGGAGGATATTCCAGAATATTCCACTGATATTCCAGGACCTGACATTGCCTGTCCTGAACAGCTCAGCCTCACTGCACCTGGATCCTGATAAGCAGGACGCTCTTGGGCAGGTCTCAATAGGATCCTTTGGGGATGTAGCTCAGACTGCATTTAGTTCCCTCAAGTCTGCATGGACAGGGTGTGAGACAACGGAGGGGAGACCTGGGTCAGCGATCTCACTCTTGAGAAACAGCTGCTTTGGGAAGGCTCATGGAGGCAAAGCAGAGGGTCTCCCTCAGGATCTGGTAGCAGCTGGAGTAAACTCCTGGTTTATTCTAAGAAACTGCCCCCTTTGTGGTTACATCCTTATTAGGAGCATTGAAAGGTCATTCTTCCTGGACAATGGAGCAGGAAGAGTATAAAAGAAGGAACAGGGCTCAGCATGTGGACAACTGTGTTGACAAAACCAAGACAAGTCTTTAGAGCCTGCAGCTTGATACATGAAGCTTGCTGGACACACCACGCTGGAAATGGCCCTGGAGCACTGAACCCCAGAAGGCTAAGCCTGTTGCCTCCCTGGGGCTGTGGGAGATGAATGGGGTGGGATGAGTCCTTTGGGTCCCTTATTCTTGGTCAGACTGTTTTCTTAGTTTCTGGCCTTCACTTAGCCTGGCTTCTCTACCCAGACTGGGAACTGTACTGCAAGTGACACAGAATATGAACCTAGCAAGGGATGAGTGGTGGGCCACACCTGGGAAGTGGAGTTTAATTTTTGTTTCGTTGTAAAACAGATGTTCAGACTGAGGACTACCATGCTGAGAGTACAGACATACACTTGGACACTGGCCTAAAAGACATTATACAGACATGGTGGCTCTGGGACAAAGCTCCCCTCCTACCCCGTCCCCCAGATAGTCCTCAAAATGTCATCCCAGCCTGTCATCCATTTGCTGCCTGATGGAGCAGAGATCTGGAGGTTTGCAGCTCTGCTCAGCCAGTGCCACTCATGCTCCTGCAGCAGATGGCTCGTGGGCCTTGCAGGGCATCTGTGGCCATCTCTCCTCTGAAGGTGGGAGGTTATGCCAGCCTGGGACTACCTGCTGGGTGGGGCTCCCTCTCAGGAAGAACACAAGCTCCTCTGCTTGGGCTCCAACTCCCAGCTCATCTCAAAGACAAGTGTGGTCCTGGACAACGTCTTACCTTTCCTAAGTCTCGGCAGTCAAATGGAAGTAGGGGAGGAGAGGAATGCAGACATGACATGAGACTGCCTGACCCAGCGCAGGTGCTTATGACCCCCACTGTTCCCTTAAAGGATCCCCACCCTACGGGAGAGAGGTCACTCAGCTAGGGGACGGGATTTAGAGGGARAAGCCCTCAATAGGATTCTGAGGGAAATCATGGCTGTGATTTATTTCATCAACACTCTAGAAATGTCTGTTGGGACACACCTGTCTGTGAGCACCAGATCCCTTGTAGCCAGGATGCAGGACCATGTGCTGAGGAAACCCAGGCTTACCCTGGACTTACTCAGTGTCTTACTAAGGCAAAAACGCCTCATTCTTGTGGCTTTTTCCACATTCTAGGTTTTAGCTTTGGACATCTATTCTTTTTATTTCCTTTTTTTTTTTCTTTTTTGCAGTGCTGGGGATGTGACCCAAGTGGCCTTGGGAAGGCTAGGCAAAGCACTCTACCACTAAGCCACATTCCTCCACAGCAGAAGGAGGAGAAGGAAACCAAGCAGATGCTGATCAAAATACTCCCAAATTGTTTTATTGAGTGGGACAGAAAGGATCTGGCTGACTATTATGGAGGTGGGTGGAATGAGCTCTAAGACTCTGGATTCTTCAGGATTTGCCAGCTCTCGGCCTGGAGGAAGACAGGCATGAGAGTTTGTGTCTGAGCTGGGCATAGACATAGTAACTCAGGAGGCGAAGGCAGGAGGACCACCAGTTCCAAGTCAGCCCAGGCAACAGAGCGACACCCTGTCTCAAAAAAAAATAAATAAGAATGGTTGGGGATACAGCTCAGTTAAAAAAAAAAAATACCCGAGTTCAATCCTCAGTACCAGGGTGGTGGGAGCAGAATCTGATGGTGGATATCTACTAGTACGAGCTCATGGCCACAGACCACGTGTTGGACCCTGTGCCAAGCCACACCAGGTAAGTCCTCCCATCAGGACACCTTTCTAAATGAAAGTGTGCAGAGCATGTTCCTAGGGTKCTGAGCACAACGGCCTCCAGCAAATCCACCCAGTGAAGAAGAGATCTGTTACCCCTGCAAATTCTAAACCTGAGGGGGAGAGGAGGGCAGCTGCAAGGAGGTGATACAGTGAGACAGAAGACAGGGAAAGAAGAGCTAAACCCATTTGTTGAGTGTTTCCCTCAGCTCCTATGAAAAGAAAGAAAGAAAAAAAAGGCCAATGATCTCAAAAAGCCAAATAAGCTCCTGGGTCAGTTCATCTTTGCTGAGGTTGCGGGAGGCTGGTAAGAGTGCAGCGGCCATGCGGTCAGTCGGTCTGAGTTGCATGCAGAGAGGAGGGACAGCTCTTGGGGGGCGCTGGCGGCAGGGGGCAGGGGCAGCCGGCCTGGCTGGCTTGGAGGGTGGAGGGAGGTGAGGCCGGAGCCAGCTTACCCTGAAAATCCCCCTCACACGTATCCAACACTGCGTCACCCATGTCACACAGCTGCAAGAACACAATGATAGGATTCGGAGAGAGGAATAAACACGATGAAACATGAATGTAACAAAAACACTGTGCAGAGTGTCACAGTCCCACGCGGGCCACACCAAAACATTGCAGGTTCTACGCTGGCTCAGAGACCCGTACATACCAGACAGTCATGGTCTGCTCTCAAGAGAACATTAAAACAAAATGGAATGCAGGACCAGGGGGTGTCATTGACTCTGACGGTCAGATCTTAAGCCTGTGTTGATGGGAAGTGAACCACTCTACATCTCAAGCCACAAGGATACTGTCCCTCCTTGCCTGTGCCCACTTTGGCCCCCAAATTGCTCCTCTCATTCCGCTCTCATCTGCCTCCCTGAGTGACATCCTCTCCTCATCCTGTGGCTTACAGTCTGGGACACCCTTGTGCTCTGGCCTTGGGGTGGCTGGAGAGTCAGCAGACTTGGTGTGCTGGAGGAGCAGTCCCTGAGGGCTGCCRCATGTGACTGGGAACTCCTGGGGCAAGTGTTGTCCTCCCAGGCCAGTGGCTGTCCTCTACATCATGGCTCACTCAGAAACATACACCACCCCAAGAACACCAGGAGGGCATGGTGGTCACTGTCATTTCACAGGGAGGAACCTCCTTATTTAAAAATAAGCCTCAGGGTGGAGGACAGCAGCTGTACATTCAACATTAATCACATCCAAAACAGAGAAGCTACGTCCCCGGATGGCTCTTCCCTATAATGCTGAAATTTCCTGACCCAGGCAGAGACTCGCAGGCTTGCCTAGTGTTTTCACTGGCAGCAAGGAGCTGGACCTCACAGGCATGTGCCTCCGTCTAAGCTAGGGCAGAGAATGGTGCTCTCTAGGGGGATGCTGGGGGAAGGCGGTATCCATGAGAGACGTGGTGCACCCTAGACCAAGCACAGCATTTTCTTTCAAGTATGCCATGTGTATGGGTCTGTGGGCTTTTTGTTGTTTCAGTGCTGTGTACCGAGCCCAGAGACTTTTGCATGCATTCTACCACTGAGCCACACCCTCAGCCCCTGGATACGTGATTTTATATGTGGTGTTGGCATGTGTGATGCATGCATATATATGTAGCGCGCATGGGTGTATGTAGTATGTGCATATGATGTTTGCATAAGAGTGATATATGTATGGTACATATACATTTGGTATATATGTGCACATATGATGTGTGTATGTGTGGAATATGTATGTGTGGTGTATGTGTAGTGTATACATGCAGGGGTGTATGTGTGAATGTATAGTGTATATATCTGTGGTATATATATGTATATGTGTATGTGTATATATACATTTATATGTACACGTGTATGTATACATATGTATGCATGTATATATGTATGTGTGTAGGCATGTGGTGATGTATATATGTGTAGTATGTGTGTGATAAGCATATGTATGGTGTGTATATGTATGTGGTATGTGCATTTGTTGTGTATATGTGGTGTGTGTGGTGTGTATGTATGTGTGGTATATGGGTATATATGTAGTATATGGATGACATGTGTGCACATGTGGTATATGTGTGATGTGATAGGATATGTATATGCATATGGCTTATGTGTGTGTGGTGTGCATGTGTGTGTGGTATGTTTTTACACGTGTTGGCACGCATGCATATGCACATGGCTTATGTATGTGTAGTGTTTGTGTGGGTGGTGTACATGTTTGTGTGGTTTGTTTGTACACGTGTGTGGTATGTGTATCTGTYGTGTCTGTGTATATGTTATATGTGACATGCATATATGTGTGAGGCATCTATGCATATGCATGTGGCATGTGTATGTGTGGTCCATGCGTATGTATGGTATAAGTGTGATATGTATGTGTGTGGTGTACATATGTGGGGGTGGTCTATATGCATATGTGGTACATGTACCTATGGCACCTGAAAGCATGGAGTGCATGCATTTATTCCACCCCAGCCATGTCACCTTCTGCCATTTGTGGTGACACTCCACAGATATGGGCAGGCTCTTCCCTGAGATGAATGGGCTGACTTTATTCCAAGATGCAGCCCAACAGTTGACCTGTTTTCCTGAATAAGGAAAATGCTCAGATGACTTTTTGTGGAAGCCACCACAAAATCTGACCCTGACTTTATAATCTTATGTGGCCCAAGTGTCTGGGGAAACACTTAAAAAAAAGTCCTGTTTCTTCCACAATGAAAGATTTTATGGTGTGTGTGTGTGTGTGTGTGTGTGTATTTACACTTTTTTTTCCTGGGGAAGACAGCTCCATGGTTGTTTTCAAATTCAAAGTAAATCTAAGTAGCTGTGGGTTTATACAATTAGCTGCTGGAGGAATTGCAGCGGGCAGGGGGGTGGAGAGAAAGGCAGACACTTGCCTTCTCTGAAAATGACCCTTCTCTAAATATATACTGAGAAACACATTTTTCTCACAAGGCTTATTTTGCTACTAGGGACAAATATCTCTGGTTCTCAGCCTGTCTTCTCCCTAAGCACTTGGACCTGTTCAACTCCTTGGATTCTGTCCAAGGGAAACTCAACGCCTCACCTGTGTTTTGATGCCAGCTGTTCTGTGATCATAACCAGTTTCCAGCTTCTCCGGGGTYCCCCCTCCAAAGGACTTAGGCTCAACTCCCTCAAATAAGAGCAGAACCAGAAGCCYCCTGCAGAACAACTTGAATCCAGGGTCCCATAGGTGGGCTTCTAAGATCCTCTTTCCACAGCCCATGGCACGGGCACAGCCATCTCACAGTAAATGGGAACTTGTTACTTGAAAGTGACGCTACCATCCCTCCCCCCGGCACAGTTTGCTAAGGTTCACAGGAATATTCGAAAGGGCCTGTGGCCTGGTTACCTGTAGACATGCTTTCCCCAGGGGACATGCCATCCAGCATGGGGTGCTCCGTGGACTGTGGGCTCGAGGCAGAGAGGCTGACCGTGGGAGGCTGAGGAGGTGGCAGAGTGGGTCTCTGTCGGGGCTTAGGGGTGGGTCGCGATTTGGCTAAAGTGCTTGTAAAGACAGAAGGAGAGGCCAGGGGAGGAGCTGCAGCCGGGGAGAGCTGGCCTGAGGCCAAGGAGTACCCCGGTGGGTAGCTAAGTCCGTAGGGCGACGGGGTGCTTGGTGGAGTAGGAGACAGGCTGACGGGGGACGGCTGGCCAGCGGACTGGTCAGTCACAGACCCTGGCTGGCCAAAGGGGACCTTAGGTGGAATTGGTGCCAGCTTCTTTGAAACTGAAAGAAAAAAACAACAACAACAACAAAATRCAAAGCTATTAAATGAAGCCCCTCAGTGTGACTCGTCAGCACAGGCTTCATGGTTCAGAGTGGTCACCTCCTGTCACCCCACTTCCCTGCCCTAGGCCTCCTGCCACACCGAGAGCAGCCAATACAATTTTTAGAAATGAACTAGGAACTGCAAGTTTTCCTGTCTTTCCATCTGTTAACTAATTTCTCCTTCTCTTTCCTGGATCTCTGCCACCATCTACATGCACACCCTGCCAAACTGCAGAACAAATCTCCCATCCACGGGCCGTGGGCTGATTTCCCAGTGGGAAGAGGTGTCACTGAGACACTTAGTCCGGGAGACCAGATCCAACGAGAATGATCTGAGTTCAAGTTGTCACAGTGGAACCCTGACTTGGGGCAAGTCCTCAGGATGGGAAACTGACCAGGCTAAACCTGTGCAGTGGTGTTTGTCTCCCAACAGTGACGTGTGAACAAATCTCCTGGTCACAGAACCTCTGGCCTCCACCACTTTATGTTCCCCACCTGGATTCTGTGCTTGGATCATGGCTCTTTTTCTTTCTTTGCAATGCTGGAGATGAAATCTAGGGACTTAAACACACTAGGCAAGTGTCCTGCCCCTCAGCTACATCCCCAATCCTTTTCTTATTTTTTTTTAATTGACATATGATATTTGTCCTTATTTGTGGGATATAGTATTGTAATTCAATACATGCACCACAGTGCATAATGATCAAATCAGAGTAATTAGCATTTCCATCTCCTCATATATTATCATTTCCATGTGTTGGGAACTTTCCAACTCTTCTCCTCTGGTTATTTTGAAATGTATAATTAATTGCTACAGACTATAGTTACCCTACTGTGCCACCCCCTACAAATGAGTTTTGGTACCCATTATCCACCTTCACTCTGTTCTCCTCCTCCGCCTCCCACATGCCCCCCCCCCCAACCTTTTTCTTTTGAGAATTGTACCCTTGGGGTATGAGCATGGGCAGATGGACTGAAATGTTCTTTTCTTTTCTGTGGTTCTGTGAAYTGAACTCAGGGCCTCATGCATGCCCTACTACTGAGCTATATCCCCAACCCGACTGTACCTTCTAAAGCACATTGGGGCRCAGATCTCCTTTGCATTGCCTTCTTTTTCCTCTCTATCTAGTTAATCCCTCTACAGGATGATGAATACATAATACCTTGAGTGGAAAGTGAATGGGTAAAGACAAAAAGCCAGACATTCAGGAGATTTGACTGATGGGCAAAATGTTCCTGAAACAACGTTGGATCATTCATCTCTCAGAATTAAGTGAGGGCTGCATCCACATGCAGCCTAATTCGAGAAGAACCATCTTTTAAATCTTCAGGGAAGCATTAAGACCTCCTCCTCCATTCCTGCTCCCCGCCCCCTCCATGGAACAAAACCTACCAGGATTTCTCAAGTTTTACCCTAGCTCATCCAGCCCTTTGTGTGCATGACAAAAGACCATGCTTCTTAGGGTCCACCAACTTGGGGGTCGGGTCAAATTTCTATCCTGCTGGTGACCCACTGTATACCCAGTATAATTTATTTAAACTTCTAAAAAGCAATAATAATAAACAAACAAAAAACTCCGCTTCTATACAATGGGGAGAATAACATTTTCTCCATGGCACTGTAACAATGAAGTGGGATCGCATATGAAAAGTGCCATATAATCACCACTTGCAATGAAACGACTTAATTTTGCAGTTTCACTTTCTACCTGTACTGCCTAAGTTCAGGGTAAGTTTGCCAGCAGCCACGACTGTAGCAACTGTAGCTCATGACAGTGCGCGGTCAGGCATGGGCCCTGTAGGAATGATTCCACTGGACTGGACATGAAGTATGGGAGACCCTGGGTATAGGAGCATGAGCATGCCTCCTCCCAGATGAACTGCAAGAGAGAGGATGCAGTAACATCATCATGTCTGTGATGAGACCACTTCTGTTTAGTGACAGGACTAGGACATGATACTCCACTGGATGCATGTGGTCAAAAGACAGAGGGGTCAAAAAAAAAAAAAAAGCAAAAGTTAAGTATCACAGATGGGCAATGATGGGGAATGGAGAAGAACATCATCCTTTCAAATAACAACTCTGAGTTACTCACTCACTTGAGAAAGGGACCTGGGTCATTCTAGACAGTATTCCCTGCATGGGTCCAATGTGCTGCAAAACCCTCAAAGGGTCAGCTGGCCACTGGGATTAGGAAGCTGACCAGCTGCAACAGGAGCCCTGACACTTCCAATGGATGAAACCATGGCTTAGCCATCATCCTCGGCTTGAAGGGTTGGGGGAGGATCTGTAAACAGAGATGTGCTGAAGAACTCATGTCCGTACTACAAGGAAAATCTACTGGTGTTGGAGAAAAGCCCTGGAAGGCTAACATCCTACTGCCCCCACTTTGGTCCATTCATCATTCAACCATCAAGATGTTGGACAGAGTGTCCCATGTGTCCCCACAGTGCCACCTTTGCATTATCACYGAACCTCTCTGGAAAGCAGACTCCTGCACATAGTAGGGTTCAGTAAATATTTGTAGGATGAGAAAGAAATGAAGAATACTGAWGTGCTGGGGTGAAGGAAGACTGGGAGAAGGGAACTTCCATGGTAGCCTGGTGCCAGGAAGTCTGGAAAGGGATGGATTGTAGATAAATGTGGGTGATGAGCCTGGTCTGTATAACCAATCTGGAGCCATAGCCATCCTCAGGGCATGAAAGGCCTGAACTCAGAACAAATTAAATAATATAACTGGGGACTGAATTAGAAAAGGACACATGCCATGCTTCCCTCATGATGTCAAGATGGATTCTACTGTCATATGTAACTAAAAGGCATCAATAAAAAATTTAAAAAAATTTTTAAAAGGATATATGATCTCAGACACATGAAAGGCTTTGCCAAGGGGTGGTAGAGGTGGAGACAAACCCAAAAGGTCCAGAAAAGTACACTTGCAGCCCAGCTCCCCATTTAAGAAATGTTGACATAGAGTACATTGTTAGTTTTTAGGAGTGATTCTCAGAAGGGAAAATAACAAGGCCTTTTATCACAGGTTCCAGTGGCCAAATCCTGGAGGGCAGTGATGGGTCAGCCTAGTAACAAAACAGAGGTACGGGAGGTCCGGCCTCGTGGAGATATGATCCCGACACCCTTCATTCCTTTACAGGAGGGATTTGGGGAGGTGTGCAGCCATCTAGGACCCTACTGCACTGCAGGTAGGGTCCGGCAGGTCTGGGAAAGTCACACACCAACTCAGACAATGATTTCTCACTGGTGGCATCCTGTGCTGTAGAGGAAACGCTGCCCGCTGTATGTCCCTCGCTTTTCAAATGAGCTTGCTGAGGATGATGGCGAAATGGTCCCATTTAGGGTTTGGTTGATTTCTTGTTTTGCTGCTGTTGTTGCAACACTAGAGGTGGAACCCAGGGCCTTGCACCTTCCAGGCGAGTGCTCCACCCCTGAGCTACACCCTCAGCCCAGGGGTTGGCTCACCTCTCTCAGCTCTAACACTCAGACTCAGAACTGTTCACTAAGTCACTCAGTTTCTAGACACCCAGGCTAAGGATGGAAATGACCCTTTAGGAGTGATAAGCGCCATCACMGGCCTGAGGCTGCCCAGAAGGGAAGTGGTGACGTACCTTTCCGGAGGGTGTGGGGACTCTGGTCTGCAGGTGGCTGGCTGGGGCTGGCACCCGGCTGAGTCCCCGGTTGCGTCCCTGGACAGGTTGTCCCCTGGCTGGAACCTGGACTTCCTTTCTGCCCAGACCCTGGAGACAATTCCTTGCTTTTAGCAGTGCTGAAACACAAACACACAGGGCAGAGAGCTCCCGAGTTCAGTCGACTTCAGCACCCGCCTTGCCAAATGCAATCCTAGTGTTCTTCTGGGTCCCACTCCACTCTATCCTAGCTCTAATCTTCTTGGTCCCTTCTTAAAAACCTTCAAAGACACCCTAWAAGGTGACGGTCCTTTCTTGGAGCTCTCATGGCCTGAGTTCCACCCCCTGTGCCAACATCCTCTGCCCTCAAGGAGGCCGTGAGCAATGTAAGGGCAGGGCCCCTGTGTGTTCCCACTCTAATCTGTCATCAACATGAGCATTCTAGGACATTCTGAAAACTGGAACACCAAAATGTTCTTTTCTCTTTGAKTGACACGGCATACCCGAGCCAAGAGGATTCAATAGGGTGAGTGTGCCAGCAAGGACTGATGACTTGGCCTCAGGCTGTCCTGTGCAGGGCCAGAGCTCTCCCGTGAGGGCCTCCATCACTTCCCCAGGCARGGGAGGAATTCTGTGAACCATCCTCAAACTCAGTGGCAGATACCAGCAGTTGGCAGTATCATTGCTGACCCAGGCCGAGGTCCCACATGTGGGCCATTTCAAGTCCTGGTCCTCCAGGCTTAGAAGAAGGTGAGTCAATGGAGGAGAGGGACCCTGCCCTCTAGAGTCCCTCAGACTGACAAAGGGACACCAAGGTCACCAGGTCCCTAAGAGGATTCCTCCTCACAGCTAGGCTCTTCATCAGACCCTGGCCTGAGGATCAAGTACATGTTAGGAGACAACCTACTCTACTGCATAAGCAAATCCACGGCAGATCCTTATTCCCTGCCAGCCTCCGGCGGGCCATCTGTGGGAGATCTCACTATACTCCCTATGTTCCCTTACAAGGTTTCACTCCTTTTCACCAAAATACTCCAGGTAGCTCCTAGTGAATCAGGAGAGGTGCTGCTCTGGAGTTGGGAGATATCCGACATCCTCCCTCGATTGTGACGCTCTTAAAGGGTGTAATGTGGAGGGTCTGGGAACCTAAACCTAGAGCAATGGCTGTTTCTTCCCCCACAAAAGCAGCCACAGCCTATTTCGTTCCTAAACTCATTCAGAGACTCCAAATATACATTTGGAGCAAACACCAATAAGATTATTCTACTCATGACCCACTGAGGAAGACTGGAAGCAGGGACCTGGGCCAGAACAGGAAGTCATTAAGTAGTTTTCTTCATGGGAAGGAAGGAAAGACCCACTCAAGGTGGTGATGCTTTCTCTCCCTTGTAGGATGAGTTTTCCATGGCATCTGGGGAATCCTCCAAGAGGAGACTATCAACTTAAATCCAAAGGAATCCAAAGAGCAAAAGTTCCTTTCTCTATTTCATCAATGAAAAGAAAAAACAAAACAAAACAGAAAATCGTTGAGTCACTCAGACTGGACAGAAACTCATCTTTGATTCTTCTTCAGTCTCAAGGTCACCTGGCACGTGGGCATTAATCCAAACGACTACCTCCCTTTCCATCCATCTCTGTCACCATCAAGAGGAAGTTAAAACAATCAACCAAAGAAAACCACCAAACCRTCCAACCAAAAGACTCCTGGGTGGAGGTAGAGGGGTCCAGACGCTCCTCCWGGGTCTAGATAAGACATCTATCAAGAAATCATCCACCTGGTCTTTCTGTTCCCTCCCACCTGGCCCACTTTCCCCAGCACAGAAACAGGTATTTACCTACTTAGCCTGGCTCCTCTCTCCCCAGCATAGGTGCAGCTGACCCCCCCATGGGAGAGGTGGGGTGGAGGGTGGCTATTGGGAGCACTAGATGAAGGAGGCTTGGGAAAGGCACATGGGAGGACAGGTTAGATCCGGGGACACATGACTGGATGCCAAGGGGCAGGAAGCAGAGTTTGAGGTCAGCATGAATGCCAAGCAGAGGAGCAGGACACAGGGAGAGCCTGGCTGGACAGAACGGCCAGCCTAGAATGGAGGGAGCTGAAGGCAGGGCTGGGCCAGGAGGGGAGAGGGAGGGCCTGCCATCCTCAGGGGAAGGGGGAGATGTCACAGGAATCCAGTATCTGCAGGAAGCACCATCTGTGCTGCAAATGTCCAGGAAACAGAAAACAAAACAATGGAATGCCTATTTCTACTGGGCAGAATCTACAGAAGGAGAGAAAAAGAGGGTGCCATAGGAAAATGAGAACCAAGCACACASAACCACCGCCCAGGGACAGTAACATACAGAGCAACGTAGCTGACCTCTGAAATAAAACTTGAACCAGCGGGTGACATTCCCTACTCATGAGTGATTCTGCAAGGCCACCCATCCATAACATTCCTGAGCCCGGGGGAATCCATCTTCAAGGGCATTTTTAAAGAAATATCATTTATATGCCAAACATCATATGGCACTGAGTCTCCTTTGTAACATGGGAAATCAGGATGACAGGGGACAGTGGGCTAAGAGGGGATCATCTGAGCTAATCTCCTATCTACTTGCCTCTCTCTCCTGGTCAGCAGCCTGTCTGTCTCTGCTTCTCCACCAAATTCCCTGTGCCCTTTTCTGTACCTCTCCTATAGATCTGAAGCCCAGCAAGAGTTCCACAGCGGGACCCAGCATCCGGAGTTGCAGCGTCAGCAACAACCCCCGCACTCTGTGTCAGCCCCCCCCCCAAACGCTGAATCATCCCGTTCCCTTTATTTCCTCATTTCACAGTGAAAATACCTTCTACTTATGAAAGAATAAAAAATGATTTGCAATCCCCTCATTAGGGGGTTGAAATGGGAGTGTGTATGAGAGTGTATTTCAAAAACACTGAATCAAAAGGTTTGGTTCCCAAGAACCAAAAATCCATACCTCCTCCCCAGTGGCCATGGGGACACGCCACACTTCCCTAACAGAAGTCACAATGGCATCTGATTGTAAGTACCTTTTCTARTTCTCTAAATTGTTGTTAGATAACAGAACCGGATAGCAAGTTGTTTCAAGATGTAGTTCTCGCTTCCAGAGTCCCCCCTCGGACAAGACCCAAAGGATGGGTCTCCTTCCCCTGTGCTCCTGCGTGTGCATAACCCAGGCTGGGGTTACCTGTCTGAGCCCATTTCTGGAATGTGAACCCCTTAAGGGCAGTGATTATATCTGATTATTCTGGACACAGAAACTTCTGCTCATGTTCACGGAACTACTGATGGAATGAACTTGAATTCTCTTTCCCTCTCCCTTCTCCTTAAAGAATGGAAATTCAACCATGCAGCATCCTGCAGAGGTATCAGGCCCAACATGACTATGTCACCACGATTCCTTGCCTTACTTGGATCCACTTTTAGCAGCAAAAACAGCCACTACACACCTAAAGGTAGAGGAGAGGGAGGGGTAAAGGATGAAATTCTAAATCGTAAAAGAAGAAAATTATAAAGGCACAGGAAGGGGAAGTGGAGAGCTAAGGAACATAATTCCTCGCACTGCTTTAGCAAGCTGCCACCTTCTATGTTTGCTTGGGGATGCCATTCTTGGAAAGTCTGGACTAGACGGAAAGCCAAGGAGCTGTGGATGGCTGATCTTGTGCCAGCGGGAAGCAGAAAGCCAAACGTGAATGCTGAGAAATGATGGCGGGGATGTCAAATCCAAGAGGCGTCAAGTGTGCTGCGGCAAGCCCAGACACCCTCTGCTCAGGCCAACCAGCCCACCCCCAGACAGCAGTAGCAGGCGCTTACCTGGCGCGCTCAGGCACGGGCTGCAGGCCCACGCCGGATGGAGAGAGCGCAGGAGCTGCGGGACTGTCGGGCACCTGCTCCGGTAGGGGCGATGGCAGAGGCGCAGCAAGCTCTGCGGGCGGGGCGGGAGGCTGCATGGAGGGCGGGGCGCAGGATGCTTTCCGACCAGCTGAGGAGCCTCTTCGAGCCACCCAAGATGTATCCATGACCCTCACACCCATGCTGGCGAGGGATACAAAGATACCTGCTTACCCACGCGTGACAGGTGACAGGCTCCCTCCCCCACGAAACGGAGACATTCAAGCAGGTCCGTGTTAGGAGAAGAGCAGCACAGCCTTAGCACCCTCCGGGGCCTGGGAAGCGATGCGCAGCGGGAGGGGAAGGGCCAGCAACGCTCCAAGCGCCCAGGCTGCTGGGGGCCAGCAGAGATGCAGCCCCTGCGGCCCACGCTTGGCAGGAGCAGCCCTCCCACAGTGGCGAGGCTGCAGCAGGGCACAGTCAGCAGCTTGGGAGTCGACGAGCCGTATGTCAACCCTCTGCCAAAGCCAGCTGTCCTTGAGATAATGGCCCAACAAGCTCCCTGGGTGTGGAATCCAAGCTGTTTTCAGAGCACAATGTGGCCTAACTGGGGGAGGGTGTGGGGGGGAGGATGTCCACTTCCCCCAAGTGGGAGAAGGAGGTGGGTGGGGCAAGGACAGAGAGCACCAGACTAGAGCACTGAACCAACCAGCAGGAGACATCTAAATAGTCTTCTTTTTGTAATGTGGGATTTGGCCCCTGATCCACCACTGCTGGGCACCTGGCCACACCTGCTTGCCTACATAGCGGGGGAAGGGGCTGCTCATGCCTATGGTCCTTCCAGGCTTTGAGTCTATTTTAATGATGGGCACACAGCTTCAAGTAAGTCGGCCAAGCAACCAAACAGTGGCACATTCACCTTCTCACAGAGCTCACTACCACACAGTTGGCTTAGTTTGAAATTGAACTTGGCCTTGTAGCTACCAGAGGATACTGTACCTTTGGATTTTCCTAAGGCTGCAGGGACAGAAACATACAGATATTAGTGTCAACAAATCTAYACCTTCCTTTGGATATAAGGGTTGTCTTTCTGCAAGATGGGGGGAGGTCTCTTGGTCTCTTGCCAAGGTCAGGGTTTTGATTGTGCCATTACATCATTACAATTTGCTTGGTTAAAGGGATTTTACTGTTTGTAGAGGTGAAAACCACATAGGTGAATAAAGAGAGCAGCCAAGAGTCAATATCACTGAGGGATGGGAAGAAGTCATAATGAAAAAAGAAATTGGTACAAGTCGTCATTTGCCCTCTTCTGGGTCCTACGGACTTGGAAGGAGGTTGGTTCTCATTGGACAACTGGTCCTATGATTCTTAGACAAGGGATTTATTGACTCAGGTAAAAGCTCACATTTTTAGTAGGAAGGGAGAAAACACTCTCCACGCCTGCATTTGTCTCTAGCATTTATATGCACAGTGGGGTGGTGGTACCAGGGCTGTATGTGCTTACACTAGCCTCGCTCTACCAAATGGTCATCTGCACTGGTCAGAAGCACCAAGGTAAAATCTTGCTCATGTAAAATGGTTATATTTACCTTGACACAGTATWAAAAACAAAAAGTTTAAGTTCAAAGATTGGATGCAGCAGATGGGGTTTGGGTCATTTAAAGACATATATCTAGGATGGACCTGCAGTGAGGGACGCAGGGGAGAAGGGATGCTCATCCCTGTCCTGGGATGGGGACAGATTCTTGACACACTTCCTCCCAAGGATCACCAGAGACCCTTTTACATTTTATACATACAGACGTACACTTAGTTGACACTTTTCATCTCCCCTGGATTCCTTAAAATGGACGGGGTGTAGGAGGGATGTCTTTTTCCAGGATCCACTAGCTTTCAAGTCATTTGGGTTATAAGTACCTTCTGTAAGCTGTCCAGAAACCCTCTTGGAGGCTACTCAAATTTCTGGGCCGGAGCCCCATATTTGACCCCYTTATATTTAAAGTGGGTTGTGGGGGATTATCAACCTATGCTTTCTGGGCTTCAGAATTTATCAGGACGAAAAGAGTGAAAGATTTACTCTTTCACTTGGGGAAAAAAGAGCTAGTAACACTTAGCTGCAATGGTCAGTAAGGATGGCAGGAGTGTGTGATGTGTCCTACGGTGACCAGCAAAAAGAACCCTGAAAGATGCAAATCCCACCCTATCTTCCCTTCCTTGCCCTATTCCACTCTGCTTGGAAAGATCATTCCCATGGATTGGGGAGAGGGTCAGGATCAGGACTGGTGAGGGGATGCCTTCTATTTCCAATGGCATCTTACATGCTCAACTCCAGGCTACCAAGAGAAGGAGCAGCTTGGGCATGGGGTGGGTGGGTACCAACGGAACCCTGCTAACTATCACTGGGAAAGGTCAGCAGCTGAGAAACATGAGCTGCATGTATTCTTTTGCCTTTACAAAGAGGCTGCTGTCTTGTAAGTAATCACCACTCTGACAGCTGAAACCATTCTCTTACGGTTGCTCACGGTGAACACGCATCCAATGTTCACTGACATTTTCGGTAACATCAATCTTTACGGAGCAGGCCAATCACACAGGCAGCAGCAGCTACACATTTAGAGGCCTAAGTTTATTTACCTCTAGAAGCAGTGGTATACTGAAATATCTGAATGTCTCAATAAAACTCAGCTCAGAGACAGGAATTACAAAATTGGTCAGTATGCTGCCAAGGAGGGGAACCTKCTCACAAATTGGGAAACTCAATGAGAAGGTTGTATCGAGAGTTCACAAGTTTCTATTCATTACTGGATGAAATAAAGAAGCTACAATAGCCAGGCTCAAGGAGCTGCTTGTGAGTTTTTTGGTTTTGTTTTAATACTGAGGTTTGAACCCAGAGCACTTCACCGCTGAGCAAACTCTCCACAGTCTTTTTGTTTTTTTCTTTTGACACAGTGTCTCACTAAGTTGCTGAGACTGGGTCTCAAACTTAGGATCCTCCTGCCTCAGCCTCCCAAGTCACGGGGATTACAGGCATGCGTCACTATGCCTGGCTTGTGTTTCTTAGGAGACAACAAATGGAAGAGGAATGAATACAAGAACAACTGACTTTGGTAGATGCTGCTGCATGGAGACCTCAAGTCATTCTAGAGGTCAAGACTTCCCATGGCCTGCTGCTTCTGGTGAAAACTGAGCGACTCAGCTTCATAAGTGAAGTTGAATCAAGGTGAAAGCAAGGAGCCAGGGGCTGAGAAGAACCTCTAAGAAGCAAAGGTCTTGGAAGTCGATGAGCAGGAGGCACAAGGCAGAGTCCAGGAGCCACCCTGCGGGTAAGTGGCTTTTCTGGCTCTTCTGTGCCAGCAAGGTGACAGGGGTGGAGGGCTTGCAGAATCAGGGCAGGTGAGCCTGAGAGCTGTCTTCACTGCTCTTTTTTACAGTAAGAAGGTTAGGGACGAGGAATCTAGAGTTGTCACCTGCCTTCAGGGAGCATGCTACATGACAAGTCTTCAGGCAGCCCCACTACAGTATAATCCTCGCTGCTTCACTCCTCCCTGCCCATCGCATCTTATGTTTCTAAGAGGTCTGCCATAACCCATACTTTTGTATTTTTCATGAAATTCTAATAAGGAATACATTCTGAAATGTCCTCAACTTCCAGGCCCAATTAAGASACTCATTGACACAACAGAGCTCTCATCTACAGAATAAGGCAAATACTTTCCTCCCTGCTTCCAGCATTTTCCAGAAGGTCATTATGAATATTGGATGCTAAGATAAATTTAGCATGTACTTGCACTATTACCTGGTGGCAGAAGCTGAACGTAGATATAATAGGTCCCAGGATTATTATATTATAGTAACTATGATGTATCCCCTCACAGTTCTGGAGGCTACAAGTCCAGAACCAGTACTTCTAAGGTCAACTGAGGGGTCGGCAGGGCTGTGTTCTCCCCAGGGGCTCCAGAGAATCCCCCTGTGCCTCACTGAGCTAATGGTGGCTGCTGAWTTTTTTTGGCTTGTGACTACCATCTTCAAATCTCTCTGTTCCATTTTCAAATCTCCTCTGTGTGGTATAGTGAAATTTACCCTGTCTCCTTCCTCYAAAGATGCACGTTATGTCACGTAGGGCACAGGGTAATCCAGAGTAATCTCCTTATTTCAACATCCTATTTTTATTATTATTTTTAATGTTTATTTTTTTTTGGTACCAGGGATTGAACCCAGGGACTATCACAATGAGGTCTATCACAATGATGAGAATATGTATGCGAATGCCTGAATCTGATCCTGTGATTTGCTACAGAAACTCAGCGTCCTGTGTCATCATGAACCAGAAAGGCATCAGGAACAAAGCTCTAAGTCACGAGGGGAGAAAACTACCTTATATGATATCTAGGATGTAGAAGCCATTAGTCCAGGAAAATGTCATTGGCATTGCTGCGGAACTTACCATTTCTATAACACTTCTATCAGGTTTATCTGTCCAGAATTTTCTTCTGTTTCTTTTTTTTTTTTTTTTAAGTAACAGTTCTATTTTTTCTTTACCTTTTTTGGTAATTGTTCCATTTTCTTAAAGTAACATTTTTATTGATATATGACTAATATATATCAATATATAATTTATATAATTATATATGTATTTTACGTGTGTGTGTGTAATTTTCTTTTTTTAAAAAACCTCTATATTATGAGCTTTCACTAGTCAGTGTTTCAATGGATAGTTTGAAGACTTCAGGATGTAGATTTTAAAATCTCAGAAATGAGGAGAAATATGGAGGATTTCCCTAACATTGCTAAGACAAGAACTCAACCGATGTAAATTATTTTCTTCTCCCCTAAAAAAACTTATAATTGGGGGTTTTTTGTTCCCTGAAAGCCAGTTTAGAACTGATTACCAAAAGTTCACTACATCCTAAAGCACACACAGTCACGTGCTGTTGAACGGCAGTACATGTTCTGAGAACTGTTGTCATTGAGTGATTCCACTGTTGTGCGACTGGAGTGTACTTACACAAACTAAGATGGTATGATGTCTCTGGGTGAAATGCATGTCACATATGTGGTCCATCGTAGACCAAAYATCATGATGTGGCACACAATGGTAGGTTGAGGCTTAGCCTCCATCAGTTCTTTGAGGGTTCCCTAAACCAGGAAGATCTCCACCTCATGTGAAATACAAATTTCAAAGTATACACAATATATTCTATTTCATGTAGAACAATAATTTATATAGTGCATCTCCTAGACCCTCTGGGTAGATAGTGGCAATTACAACTTTAGATCAYAATGGCACACGGAAGGGACATCTCATTTACAAAGTTCTGAAATAAGAGGACTTTGTTAGTGCTTTTGCATTTGCCCATGTCTGTAGGGGGCCAATGGTACTTGACTATCCTGGTGATTCTGCTAACTCCCTCGTCGAAGACATGTGAATTACTTTTTAGGGAAAATGGAGAGAATCAGAACAGATCTGGCAAGACAGAGTAGTCCACGTTGATGCAGAAACACCCAGGACCAAATCGGAGGTATTCTCTATACCCCTGTCCAGACAAGCACTGAGCCTCAAAAGGGCAGCCCCTYGGCATAGTGAATGTCATGAAGGAACTGAATTACTACTTAGAATGAGATTTAAAAATAAATTCCAGTGCACTGTCTAATTCTCTGCCTCTGCTTCTCCCAGATTCTAATTTCACTCCTTTTTCTGGGTTGAAGAAGTTTTTCCTTCCTTCCTTGAMTGTTTAAGAACTTGATCTCTCCCTACTAAACAGAGAACAATAAACTACAGCAATGTGCACAGAAACAGCYCCCACTGCCTCACACACACAGGTCACTGATCAGCAAGGTAACACTGGCCACCCTCAAGACCCCACCAGGACACAGGCTTGGGTCTCCTCTGCAACTCTAGTCCCCAGTGCCAACTCTCATTTGGAATAAATAGGAGTGAAAAGGGAAACCCCCACACTTCTAGGATTTTCACCCCTYCCTCCTAATCCCTTTGGGCCATTTGCCTTTCAAACAGATCTTTCTGGGTACCTGGTAGTTGATCAGAAAGGGGAATGTTGGCTGTTTTATCTGAATTTCTGTTACTCTCATTCAGTGCTTTATGCTCCCATGTATCCTGAAGGAGCAGTTACTAAATTTTATTTTGTGGTGGTGATTTTAAATTCCCAGCCAAAGTTGACTCATTGCACCTGCTTGACCCAGCCAGGCAACCCATTTCTTCTGCATCAAGGATGCCCTACGGATTCTCATCCAGCCACAGACTTCAGTTGCCAAGGCAGAGCTAGTACTTCCCATGACTCATCAGAGCTTGTTAAAAAACCTACTTCTGCCCATCATATCATCTAGTCAAATATTATGTAAACTCATTTAATATGAGTGTAAAAAGGGTTGTTCCTGTGCACTCTCACACATGAAGCTGGGTGCATTAATGAGTCTATTAAGGACTGCATTGAAGTAAGATAGGTGTCAAATATAAAAGACAGGAGGAAAAAATCTCAAAAACCTATAAAAATTTTACGCTTGGAGTGCACCAAATTTTAGGTTTTCTCTCTAAAGAGATTGAAACTGTAAATGTTAAATTATGCATTAAAGGCATTATTTATGCAAGGATGTTTCTGAAGAGTGTAACTGAGCAAATCTACAATCAAAGTAAAGCCACAAAAGAGTCAAGAAGTGATATACATTTACACGTTTTTGTTTTTTTTTTTCTATTTCTGGTGGTGAGGATGGAACCCAGGACTTCACACATGCTAATAAGTACATGCTCTTCCACTGAGCTAAAACCTCAGCTCCACATTTACACACTTTTGAGTCAAAATGAAATACTTCTGTATTTTTAAAAATTATCCTTATTGACCAACTTTAATTTCTTTGATGAGAACTAATCAATACTGATCACAATTGTCAGCTAAGAAAGCTATACTTAACTCTGGCCCCAAGGGAGGCAAGCCAGAGAGACCCCATTCCAGATAGCGCAGTTTCAAGAATGAGGTCAGGGTTCAATTGCTACCGGTCACCAAGATGTGGTGGTTAAGTGCAACTTCCTATGTCAATCCTGTTTCTTTCCTTACCTTTCACTCCCTCCCCGAAACTCTCCCAATCCCCAAGACTGAAAAAGGGACACAGCTTCATACCCATCCTTTTTGTAAAACTCCAGCATCATATTATCCGTGGCGACACTGAGGGGCCGGCGGGCCTGCTCGGGCTGGCGCCGGTCAGCGGGGTCCATGTCTGGGGAGGGCATTGAACTATAGTTGGCATTATGGTTCACGTGCACCGGACTCCCATAATTGCCTGTAATGTTGAACTCTATCTCTGCAGGGAAGAGAGAATTGGTATACTCACCTTAATAATATCATTTATCCTATTAATAGGACAAAGAAGAGAATATATGTGGTCACGTAGACTGGCATTTAATAAAGAAAAAAAGTCCATTTGTGATTTTTTCAAAATCCAACAAAACTTAATACAATAGAAGCCCTTGGATACTTTCTCAAAAAGACAAAATCAGCTTAGTCAAATATCATGCTTTAGAGCAGTCCTAATGTAATCAGGAAAACAGCAACATCCACCCTGGCTATTTTTATTTAATATTATATGAGAAGTGCTAGCCATTGAAATTGGTCATGAAAAAAAAAGTCAATGTTAAGATTTGTAAATGATAATATAGTCCTACTATAAAACTGAACAGGATACATTTTTTTTTTTTAAAGTTAGAAATAGGAAGAATTTTCATTGAGGTATTTGTTGGTTCCCAAAGAGATACATTTTTTTTTTTTTTTTTTTTTTTGGTCAGTGGGAATGGATTTGCTCTGCTCAATTCTGCCTCTCCATGATGTAATGAATCAGCTTATCCACAGCACGTGAAGAATTATTGCCTTCGACTCTTATTTCCTTTTTTTCTTTACCTTCGCTTCCTAGCCTCACCTAGCTTTGTGCCATCAACAGAGCTCTCAGAAGATCAGCCACTCAAACACGGTCAGCAGAAGAAAGATGGCCAAACTTCTTTGATTTCCTCTGAGGACTAGAGGAGTTCACCTTCAATTGAGTTAGTGGATGTTGCTGCATAGCTAGAAGCATCCTTCTAATATTTACTACCCATAATGTCACAGCATCAGTTTTTTTTTTTTCTCAGTAAACACTACATTTAATGTAACCATTGCTCTCTCTTTAAAACTATCACCACTGCTAGATACGGTGACGAATACCTTAATCCCAGTGACTTGGGAGGCTGAGGCAGAGCTTGGGCAGCACAGTGACTCTGTCTCAAAATAAAAAATAAAAATGGGCGGAGGATGTGGCTCAGTAGTAGAGCACCATTAGGTTCAACCCCCAGTACCAAAAACAAACAAAAACAAAAATATCAGTCAAAGCTGAAAGACATGTACTTAGGCAACGATGCTTCCATGGCTCAGGGCATGTCTTAAGTCCCCTCTTAGAAAGCTGCCTTGAGAATCTAATTTTGAATTAGGTAAAAAAAAAAAAAAAATCTGCCTTTGTACATGCTAAGGGGCAACTCAAAGGGTACAACTTAGGGCAATGAAAGGGTGATCTGTGAGCCCTGAGGGTTTGGAGAAAAGGATTTCTCTCCTCTTTCTGCAACTGGCAGGCCATGATTCACAGACCTGAAGGAACCATGGTATGAAATCAATAGAATCCATGGACCTCATTGGCACCCACAGCAGACACATTCATGCCAGAACATCCCTCAGCATGGATAAGAGAACAGGAGGCTGCTATGACAGTACCAATACTGGTGTGTGTGTGTGTGTGTGTGTGTGTGTGTGTGTGTGTGTGTGTGGTGTGTGCAAAGATTAAAAGCAAAACCAACAAAAGCCCTGGGGGCCGTGGTCCTTAGTTTCAAAGAGTTCTGAACTCACAGTGATCTCCCTGCTCCCCGCCTCCCATCCCCCCCACCCAATGCCGCCACGTACCCCCAGGGAAGAACCAGTCTGCGTGCTGGATGATGGGCTCGATGATCCCAACGATCTGCAGCGAAACTGTGGTCATCATCTCAGTGATGTTTCTRCAAGCACAGAGCAAAGGAGGGCAGGATGGGGTCACCAGCCGAGGCAGGATAAAGGGATCCTTGGTCCTCTAGCTATTGAGCCCAGGAAGGGATCCTGGACTGGAACCTTGTAGGTCTAGGTCTGTGAGCTGGCTTTCTCTCTGGAAGGACATTTCACCTTTCTGAATGGGGACAACCACAGGTAAATGAATAGCACCCAGGAAGGCACTTTTAGCATAAGGTATAGTTCTCATCACTGCCGAGTTCCTCCTCTTTCCAACTCTGAGGTCTCCTTGGAGACAACCCTCCATCCCTCTGAATCTTAGGACAGAGTCCAGGGTGCCTGAGAGACTTTGCCTTGCCTGGTGCCGTCATGTCCCTCRTCTTCGCTCCCTTCATGCTGATGCTGACCTGGGTTAACTTGGAGAAGACCCTTCCTTCGGACCCACAGCTCTGAGACCGTCAGTGAGAGAGGTCTGCAGAACTCTGTGCATTCCCCCATACAGGGAGTGGGCCGTGACAGAAGGAGGACTTGAAATATCAATGAGGCTGGTGATGATCCAGGGTCTTGGGAATGCCCCTGCGTGCCCCCTTGCATCCCTGCCACACTGCCCACAGGGCTCCCCTCCCTTCACTCACCCTTCCGCTTGCGGCCAGAGGAGGTTGGGTCCTAAGACAATTGCCATGTTACTTGGAGTCATCTTGTTTATATCTTGATATTCTGACAGCTTCGATAAAAATTTGATCAAGTATCTGAAAAGAAATGAGAAGGGCCACGTTTCACCAGGGCTCCACACCAGACAGGTGTGCCAACACTTCTCTCCAGTAGCACATCTTACTGACAGCGAGACTCATCTATCCTGCAGTATAATGAAGACATAGCATGTGTCAGGAAATGAGAAATCTGTATTCTCTTTGCAAAAAACAAGACAGACTCCGATCTTACTCGGCGGCGAGATGCTAAACATCTGCTTCAATGAACACTGGACAGAAAAAAACTCTCCATCTTTCCTTCTGACTGAGAGATGGTGTCTTCTGCAATTACCCTTAGTCAAGCTTTCTGGAAAGATCCAATGAGGAAAATAAAATGAACACAGGCTTAGCACGTGATCCAGCAATTCCACTCCCAGGGGTATATCCAAGAGAAGTATGTCAACACATAAACTGGTAGATGAATGCTCGGAGCAGCACTATTCACAATAGCCAAAAAGTGAAAACCAACCATAGGTTCATCAAGGGATGAAGAGACAAATATGGAATGTTATGCAGCTATAAACAAGAATAAAGAACTGACATATCTCACTACATGAATGAACTGTGAAGACATTATAAGTGAAAGAAAGTCTGATATAGAAGCCTACATGATGATATCTATAATATGTAATATCCAGAAGATGCAAATCTATAGACCCAGAAAGTAGATCAGTAGTTGCCAGGCCCTGGGTTGGGGAGTGGGAAGATGAAAAGTGATTGCTAATAAGAACTGGGTTTTTTTATGGGGTGGTAAAAAAAAATCTCTAAAATTAATATTGACAGTTGCAGAACTCTTTGAATGCACTAAAAACCTAAACATGACATACTTTAAAAGGTACAGTGATGTGTGAATAAATTTCAGTAAAGATATTGTTTTTAAAAAATAAGAAATTATGCACAAATTCAGCACAACAGAACAGCTCTGGCAAACCACATTAAAAACCCACATTTCCTCCTAGACTCTCGGTTCCAAAAGGCTGTGGTCCTCATCCTGATTTGCTCAGGTCAGAGTGAAGCAACTTCCTTGGAAGTTTTCCACACGTCTTCTGTAAAGAGGACCAGACATGGAGTCCTACCATGTTGTCACTATGCTGTCACTGGGCCATGTCCCTCCAAAGCCTCTCCACACCAGACCTCACGCCCTCCAAGAGGCCACAAAGGAAGAGACCAGGACATAGAAAGCTGAGGATCATCAATCCACAGGCTGTGGTCACCAACTCGAGCTGAGTACCAATCTAATTTTTGATCTTGGGATTTTTAAATTATAGTAACATACATAACTATTTACCATTTAGACCCATTTGTGGTATATATTTCAGTGGGGTTAAGTAGATTCACACTGATACCAGGTCATCACTACTATCCATCTCCAGAACTCTTTCATTTTCCCAAACCGAAATGGTACCCATTCAACATTAACCTCAGAGTTCGACCCTGCCCCTGGCCCTGGCCGCCATCATTTGACTTAGTGTCTAATAATTTGACTACCCTAGGTAACTCACATAAGAGGAATCATAAACCTTTGTCCTCTGGTGCCTGGTTTCTTTCACTTAGCATCAAGACCAAAGATTCATTCATGTTGTAGCAAGAACCAGAATCTCATGTTCCATTGTACGTATAAGCTATATTTCATTTATCCATTTATCGATCTGTGGACTCTTTGGTTACTTCCACTTTGGACTACTGTGAATCATGCTGCTGTGAACCTGGGTATCCAAATACTAAGTCCTTACTTTCAGTTCTTTTGGGAATATACAGAGAAGTGAAATTGCTGGATCATATGGTAGTTCTATGTTTATTTTTTTTTTTTTGGTCTTAGGGATTAAATTTAGAGACACTTAACCACTGAGTCACAGCCCCATCCTTTTCATTTAGAGACAGGGTCTTACTAAGTTGCTTAAGGCCTCATTAAGTTGCTGAGATTGACCTTGAACAATCCTTCTGCTTCAGCCTCCTGACTGCGTCAACCACACCCAGCATGTATGTTTAATTTTGAGAAACCACTATTTGATTGCTGCTGAGATTTTTTTATATTAATTTTTTTTTAGTTGTAGATGGACACAATRTCTTTATTTTTATGTGGTGCTGAGGATAGAATCCAGTGCCTCACATGTGCGAGGCAAGTGTGCTACTACTGAGGGACAACCCTATCCCTGCTGGTGGGATTTTTAGCAAGAAAAAAGAGAAATAATTAGGCAGATGGTTGTAGGTGCTGAAGCTGAAAATCTGCATCCAAAGGAGCTCAGAAGAGAGGTGGCAGGCCAGGAGGGGAACTGGCAAGACACTGTGATGAGAAAGCAGAAGCCCGGGGAAGGGGGAAGATCTGCAGCACGGTGAGAAGTCCAGTCCAGTCCAGGTACTAGCAAGGTGAGGGGCAGAAGTGGAAAACATCTGGGTTGAATGAAAGGTTGAGTGAAAGGTGCATAATACTCTCCTTTGCCTCCTCTTCCTGTGACTAGGTGAAGGACACCTCTGCCTCTGCCAGCTCCAGCACTGGTCAGCTTATAAGTTTCCAGGAACATCTTACCTTTACCATAAGTCCCAATATCTGAAGCTAGGGTGCAGATTTCTTCACTCCTTGCAAATCAAAGAACTTGAGTGCATTAGACAATAGCTAGTTAGGTAGCCTCCAGCACCATACAGAGACTGTGAGCCTGTTTCCTTCTCTGCAAAATGGTAATAACTATCCCTGCCTTATCTCACAGGTTGAGGCTTAAAAGAGATCCTGTGTGCCAACAACATACCACAAAAGGCTATGCACACAGGTTACTGTGACTTTTACCCGGGGAACTGCATTTCTGGGATTCAAATAAGCTGATCCTTGTGTCTCCAGTACCCACTTACCGGATGTTGTTATGATTGGCCTTGGGCAGTTTCTCACAAGCATTCCACAGGGCCTGGAGCCTCTTCTCCTGCTCCTGGATACTGAGAAAAGACAGGAAAAGCCATTGGTTGAGCATGATTCAATGAATCCCCATTGGCAATCATATTAAGCAGTCATTCTCATACTGGACAAGAAGGAGCTAACGACTGCTACTGACCGTAAGAGCAAGGAATTATTATTTAAAATGTTTGCATATTATTATTTTGCCTTCTATGTTATCCTTCTGTTTTGGCCTGCACTAGTCCAACAAAATTTTCTCTGTATGGTGAACGTATGCCAGGCTGGCAGGTAAGGGTATGGGACAGAGGCCTGAGGCCTGCTGTGGACTACAGGGTTACAGGGTTGTCAGGAGGACACAGGACACCAGTCAGGGAGTCCAACTCTGCACACTGTAGTGGCAGCCTGCCATCCAGTTCAATCCATAGTGAAGTATTTAGATGATGCTGCATATTATATTAAGATCTTATTGCTTCTTAATTTCCCTGGCATCTGGCATATAATAAATCCTTAATAAAATACCTGTAAATAAGGAGATTACATAGACATGAAGAAATCTGACCCTTCAAGATATAACTCAGGAAATAGATAACTTCCAGTAGCTGAAGGACTTTTTTCACTATGCAAAAATGATTTACTCTTAGAATTAAATAAATATGTATTATTTCAAAGATGACATTTTCTATATAAATCTATATTAAGACCCACATGGTCAGAAAAGCTTTATGCTCAAAGAATCCTTTCTCAAGAAAAACTGAAAGATAAACAGCAGCAGGGTGAGGCCCAACTCCAACCTATTGACCCGGGACCCACAGCCGAGGTGTGGCTGTCACCTGCACACTTCATTGCTGGGTACTCCAAGGTCCTGCTGTTGATTCTGACCAAGGTGAGAAAACTGACTTTCCTCATTTCTGCCTCAAGAAAGAGGCAGGCATTCTCCGCAAGGTACTTGAACCAGGAGACTAGAGTGAAAACTAAAGGTTCCATTCAGAAACTGAAAGGTGACAGAAGATGCGTTAAGGAGTTGTCATGGGACTCTAGCCTGGCCAACGTGGGGTTTTGCACGGGAAGGAAGACCCAGCTCCATCCTGTGATCTTGTGCCAACTCCCCAACCTCTGTGAGCCCCTGTTTGCTCCTCTGTACCAGGTTCACAATAATATTTCGCTCACAGAGCTACACCAGAGGTCTAAAGAAGAAGCAGTCCAAAGCAGCTGGTCCTGCTGCTGGTTCATGCAAAGTTCGACATCATTGCTAATTAGCCATCTGCAGGCTGCTGTTGTCACCTCTGTCATTTGCTGAGGCATCTTCATTGGCACCAAACCCCACTCCCTTTTCCGATCTTTGACCTTTTGAAGGTGACAGTTCGTGGGAAGCTGCTACTTTAGAGGAGCCTTGAGCACTGGGCCACGGCAGCCCAGACCAAACCAGAAGGAGGTCACTTGTGTTAAGTGCCATGCAATCAGATGGATCTCTGAAAAAGACTAGTTCTTCCAAAAATAGAAGACTCACAACAAGCAAATCAGAAGAGGCCTTGTTTTCCTCAGCCTGCATGACAAGGAAGTCCTCTCTGCTTTAACCCTGTAAGGAATGTCACTTTGAGATAACCAGTCCACTTTTGGTTCTGCTGGACTCCCAGATGCCCCGTCCCTGGCCGACTGTATTTTAGGAATCTGCCTGCAGTCCAACGCCCTGTGAAGGTGGGTCAAGGTTATCCACCCAAGAGCCTTAGGAGCTTTGAAACACAGAACCCAGACGAATGGTCACCTGAATCTCCACCGGCATTTTTTAGAAGCTTCCCAGGAGAGTCTGATGCACACAGAGGGTTGGAAACAATCGCTTCAGGCAAAAATGACTTTCTTGAGAAGGTGTGACCTTAAGTGGAAGGCACCATCACCACCAAGAGCCTTCAGCATGACATGTTTATAATCCAGTGTGAAAATAAGTTCTTTTTCCCTAGGTTCAAAGACACCGACACTACTTCGGGTCACTGGATCATTCCTATTTCCTAATGGAGATCCACCTCTGCGAATGAGGTAACAAGTAGAGCATCTCGGGTAGGTGGCGATGAGCTGAGCTAGCCTCCCTTTCTCCAGCTTCACATCATCCAGATCTCTTGGATATTTCATGATTTAAAGAAAAAAAGGGGATGGTTTTCAGCAAATGGTATGTTCTCACTTGACTTCTTCCTGGGACCAGTCTTTCTTTTGAGAGACATAAAATAGGTAAGTGGATGGACCCTGGAACTGGACTCCATGGATTCAAATTCTCATTCTGCCATACATTAGCTGGCAAGTAGCCTGCTGCTATGTACCTATTCTATACCTCAAATTCCTCATCTGTAAATTGGGGGACATAGCACAAACCACTTAATAAGAATTTCTGAGAAATTTAAGGAACGTAAAAATGTATAATGGGCTTAGTGTAAAGTTAAACCTCTAATAAACACTGAAAAAAAAATGATGCCTCTTATTATAACTAGTGTCCTCACAGAGTCCAACACTTGGTCTTCACAATAAGAGCACCACAGATTTGGCCAGCCTTTTACAATGCATTAAAAAATACACTTGTTGGGGGCTGAGGATATAGCTCAGTTGGTAGAGTGCTTGCCTTGYATGCATAAGGCCCTGGGTTCAATCCCCAGCACCACCAAAAAAAAAGAAAAAAAAATACACTGTGTCACTTGATTGAAGCGAGCTTCCTCTAGCTCTGCACATACAAGCCTGGCTTCACTTCCAGATTCACTGGGTCTCTTTTGGCCCTCAGTTCATTAAGAAGTAGAAGCATCAATGATTAATGTTGGAGGTGATGGTTATACTCATTACCTGGATTTCATCACTGTATGATATATACCTGGATTAAAACATCATCTTATATTCTATAAACCTATACAATTGTGTGTCATATTTTTTTTTTATAAAAAAAGATCAATCAGAGGGGGTGGGGGGAAGAGAGAGTATGTGTGGAAGGGGGAGGTGCATCAGTTTCAGATACACACACCAGATTCTTTCTCACAGAAGACCCAGGCTGTCCTTGAGACTAAGTCCCAAGACCAGAGATCTCTAAGACACCATTTCCAATCATGGCCACCTTGCTAGGAGAGCTATTTGCTCCAGACTTGCTCTCATAAAACACTCTTCTCTTCTTTTCTGTCTTCTGACTGCACAATCTCTACCATTCTCTCCACCACTTTTCCTCCCGTGCCAATTCTCAACAGTGTTTACTTGAGACGTTGTTTTTGTGTACCTAGAATTGAACCCCAGACTGCTTTATCACTGAGCCACATCTCCAGCTTTTAAAAATATTTTATTAGAGACAGGGTCTCTCTGAGTTTCTCAGGGCCTCACTAGGTTGCTGAGGCTGGCTTTGAACCTGAGATCCTTCTGCTGTAGCCTCCTGAGCTGCTGGAATTTCAGGTGTGCGCCACCACACCTAGCTTGAGACAGCTCATATAGCCAAAGAGAACATGTAACATCCTAATGCAGCAATAAACCAAGGAAAGAATGCAAGAATCAAGAAGCAAAGCCACACTGAGAAGCTGCAGTGTGTGACCTGGTAGGGGCCCTGCCCCTGCTCCTTGCTGAGGCCTGCTCCCTCAGGCTTACGCTCAGGAGACAGCATCCACTACCCTCTTGTTCTGCCTTTTTATTATTAGTTATTGGTGCAATATTCCTATCACAGATGAAGACAAAGACTGCCAAGGTCACTCTCGTGTCCTACCGCACTCTTAGCAGGGGTCACTGCCATTGCCCGAGCCAGCCCTTCCAGAACCTTCTTTAGTGCACTTCCACATATATCGAGGCATACCTGAAATTCTACCATTTGAGTGTGTTGGGTATTTACTTTTTTAGAATACAATATCACATGGTATCCTCATTAACTTGCTTTACTCCACTCAACAATAAATCTCCATACATTTTCATATCAGCATAAATAGCTCTGCCTAATGGCTTCAGAAAATGCATACCATAGTTTATTTAGTCAGGACTCCCACCTCCATTGCCCACTAAATCTTTAATTAACTTTCAGGCTTCTGTTATCCCAAATTATGCCGCAATCAACATCCTTGTACATGCCCCTTTGGAAAATGTCTTCATGATGGATTTGAAATGAAACTTCCAGATCCCAGGTTACATGCTTCCCTATCTTCAATAAACATAGCCATTTTTCAGTATTCCTGGGTTCAAGATCCATGCAGTCAATTAGTCGTGGACCATGTACTTTGCAGTTAGGGCTATGATGGTTGCCACCTGCATGAATGTACACAGACTTTTCCCCTTGTTTACTGCCTAAACAAGATGTTAATAAAAAATATTACACAGTGCTTACATTTTATCAGGTCTTATAAGTAATCTAGAAGTGATTTAAAGTCTACAAAGATGAAGTACACTGGGTTATATGCAATTATTAAGTCATTTTACATAAAGGACTTTGAGCATAGACACCAAGGGATGACGGTACATCCCCATAAACTCTGAAGACGGTGCCACAGAAGGTACTCACTTGGACGCCTGGATCCACTCGTCATAGAGTTCAAAGGTCATGAGTGGTTCTGGCAACTCTCGGAGGTAAGATTTCAAAGCTCCTGAGTGTAGATACAATAATGACAATGAGCCGTGGTGACTGGCAGCCTGCAGTACCCACGTGGGTTGTCTCTGGAGACCAGCTCCCTGACCAACATAAGACCACACAGAGGCTACTCACACGAACAGACCCAGGGCTCTGGTAGGGGGACCTGGGCTGATAGTCACATTGTCCCCCTTACTTCCCACATCACTACATCTTCTCTTGGAATAGTAGGAGGCCCTCCTTCAAGGGGCCAGAGCAACCAGCCCTGAAACTGGGCCCTGAGTGGACATAGGTGCATGAAGCCTATTGGAAAGGCCTGGGCTGGAGTGTCCTTGACATGTAACCACACCCTCTGCAAGCTCACCCCTTCCCTATGCGGCCTTGCTGAGAGCATCCTGCCAACAGGCTGTGGGTGCCCACCTGCAATGGCATGGGGGTCTGCAGAGTACTCCTGCACGTCCACCACACAGCAGTCCAGCGCGGCTTTCAGCTTCTTCAGCTTGGAGGCAGAGGGAGCTACTCGGAAGAGTCCCTACGTACAGAACAGAGGGTTAGCGGACAGTCGGCAACTCAAAGGTGCAAGAGCAAAACCTCCAAGGKACATTCTTCTAACACCAGCTTCCCATATTGTTTCTGCCCCTTTTCTTAGGTCTCCTCCTGCAGACGTAGGCAACTTGAGAGTAGGGACTGGATCTAACTTTACACTGTGCCGTTTTCCTGCCTGATGTCAGGGTGGCTCATAATACTGATTCGGGAAGTATCCACTGGCCAATAGAACCCTGAACACTCAAACTGTTGTTCCTGCACACTTAAGATACGTCCTAGGATAGCTATTTGCTCCTAGGTCAGACGTGGAGATCTAACAAGTGGGATGAGAAAAGGTCTATGAGGGGTGTGGGTGAATGTGCACACACACGAGGAGCAATCAAATTGCCAAGTCCTCAGAGGAAGGGCAGACTGGGGACAGGGTATGATGGAGCCTCCATGTTCCATTATTAGCATTACTTTGGCATTACCATCACTTTGTTCAAATAAGCCTCTGCACATTGTAGAGCAAAGCAAGCCAGGCATGGAAAGAAGAGAACAGAGTGTGCGGAAGAGAAGACAAATGCTGGTCAGCACTGAAAAGGAAGCGCCAAGTCCCAGGTGAGTTAGACAGGAAGCCCTGGTGGTTTCTGTTTCAACTTGTTAACTTCGTGCATTTTTATAATAATAATAATAATAATAATAATAATAATATTATTATTATTATTTTGATATTGGGGATTGAACCCACGAATGTTTTACCACTAAGTCATATCCCCAGCCCGTTTTATTTCAACACAGGGTCTCCTTCATTTGCTGAGAGTCTCACTGAGTTGCTGAGGCTGGCCTCAAACTTTTGATCTTCCTGCCTCAGCCCCCTGAGCTGCTAGGATTATAGGCATGCACCACTGCTCCTAAGAGCTTCCTCCACTCTGTGACCTAAATACAGGCTGAGAAACAAGCTGGCAGAATGCGCCTGTTTGCTCCTTCAAACTTTTATGGTCACTCAGATTTCCAGATTCCTTTAGAAGAAAATGTTCAGTCTGAAATACTGAGTTTCTGGCCTACTAAGATGGCTAACTCCCTTCCTAGTGGAGGGTGTGTCAGATAAATCAGCGTTCAAGTCTCTTTGGCATGTATGTGAGGAGGCTATGCAATGTGTCCATAAGGCTACTATGACCAAGAGACCAAGCTACAAAATACACTTAAGGAGAGGTTTAGACTCTCACAACACTATGCCATAGCCCTGTGAGAAGAGCTAGCAGTACTGGGTGGTGGACAGTGTTAAATACAGTAACCCTCCGTTATCTGCAACTTCTCTTTCAGTAAGTTTCAGTTATCCTTGGTCAACTTCAGTCTGGAAATACTAAGTGGAAAATTACAGAAATAAATAACTCATTTCTATAATTTAAATAGCTTACTATGATATATTGTTACAAGTGTTCTAGTATATTATTGTTGCTGCTAATCTCTTACTATATATAACTAATGTATAAATTTAAAGTATTTATGTATAGCAAAAAAAAAAAAAACCTAGTAGTGTATACAGAGTTCGGTAATCCCCATAGTTTTGGGCATCTACTGGGGGTCTTGGAACATATGCCCTGTGGATAAGGTGGATGAGTGCCTAAGACTTCAGATATTTGATTGCATAACTGCGAGAGGAGACTGTCCCATTAAGATAGCTAGTGGGGCTGGGGTTATGGCTCAGTGGTAGAGCACTTGCCTAGCACATGTGAGGCACTGGGTTCAATCCTCAGCACATAAAAATAAATTTAAAAAAATAAAGGTTTATGTCCATCTATAACTAAAAAAATAAAAAAAAAATCATAAAGAGAGCCAGTGAGTAGTTTTATGGGTATTAGAGGAAATTTTTCATGGAAATGTTAGAGTGACAACATAGGAGTGGAGCTCTCCCACTGAGGTGGATGTGAAACACTAGGAGATGAGGAGTAAATGACAGGAAAGAACAGGGAATGGGGAGGGCCCTGTGGTTGGAGGCAGGAGGGGACAGCCAGCCCGGCAGCCGGGAGCCCTTCAAGGGTGGCTGCACTAGCAACATCAGGCACTTGCGTGGCCAGAGGCTGGGACTGAGGCCCTAGATCTGACAACCTGGAGTCCCTGAGGGTCCCTGAGGGCAGCTGCAGTGTAGGGGTGGAGACAGAAGCCACACCAAGGAAGTGCAGAGAGTAAATGGTGGCCATTATGCACAAACAGCAAACGCTGAGAGTTATTCATAGAAATTGTAAAGCAGAAAGAAACCAAGGGATTAGGAAAGGAGTCCGAGGTTRTAGCAAGATTGAAAGAAGATTTATTTTTTTTCCTAAGTTACGAGACACCTAAGTATATTTGTTATTAAAGGGAAAGAGCTAATGTAAAGTAGGGAAAGAGAGAAAGAAAAAGGGAGAGGGAGAGAGAAAAAGGAAGAGGGGAGGGAAAGGAGAAGGAGGAGGAAAGAGAAGGAGAGAGAGATTAATTGAGTGCAAGATCTGTCCAGAGGCAGAATGGCCCAGAAAGGGCAGAGACAGGAAAGTTGAGGCAAGACTAGAGACGTCAGAGTCCATTCTCTGAGAACCAATTGACACCGACTAGATACGTAATGATGTTAGTACATTACTGTTATTTTATTGCTATAATAATGCTGTTGCAACTATATTTTAGAATATTCCTTATCTTTAAAAAATACATTCTAAAGCACTTTGTGGAAATGACACAACATCTGAAATTAGCTTCAAAATATCCAAAGCAGGTATTAGGAGGCAGGAAATGGAGGTAGAGATTAAACCAGATTGACCCAGAGCTGGGGGACAGGGATCATTTTCTTATCTTTGTGTGTATACATATTTCCATAATTGAAAAAAATAAAATAGAGGGGCTAAAAAGCCCAGTTCACCACCTTCGTGAAACTATTTCTCAGATATCAAAGAGAATTCTTCTTTCTTAATTGATGACAAATGTGAAGGCACATAAAATGGGGTGAAAATGAAACATTTATTCCCACTCCTTTTTGAATATCTAGCTTCTCAAAGCCTGGCACATGGAAACAGCCAACACTGAGATGAACGTTCACTGCCTTTCCTTCTTCCACTTAGAAACCTGAGTTTTTCTCATGTGACCCAGTGCTTACTTGGGTTGCAGCCTGTTTTTGATGAACCGTGCTTACTGGATAGATGCTATGTTGTTTATAACCCTCCTATCTCATTTTACACTTTGTTTAGTAATAAATGCATGAGTGGTCTAAATAGACATGGACTAGGTGATCGGATCAAAGGAATATCGGATAAAGGTGTTAAAAGAACCTACTGGAGCAAAGAAAGATGGCTCTTATCTCCCAGGAAACAATTCACACAGCAATAAAAACTACAGCCACCAGCAATTTCTCATAGATCGTTTTTTTTTTTTTATAGGCAGTTCTTTAAAAATACTTTCTAATGTTGCTATCCATCAAATTTTGAGGATGTCTATAAAAGAGCTGTGATCCAAAACGTTAAGAGCTCTATTTTGGAAATTAGGAAAGTTTTTATACAACAGGAGGAGGAGAGAGAATGAGTTGGCGTGGTAACAGCAGCAATAGAATGCCAAAGTCATCAAACCACACTAAGTCTGAAGAAACAACAAGTCAAATCTGCACATCCAGTCCTCAGGGCCAGACGTGGCAAGCTGCCCACAATCCTCCACTCTCAATATAAAATGAAGAAAAATCAGGACCAGCTTGTGTCTGCAGGAGAGGGGGCCGAACCACATCCCCTGCCTCTGTGTTTGGTTTGGAGGGGGCCAGCAGGGAGACGATACAGGAGAGAAGACCCCAGAGATGCTGCCTCTTGGAAGAGGTGACCTGCTCCTAGCTGGGTCTGGCTATGCTCCACCCTACCTCCTCCTGCATCCCACACTCCAGCAGCATGGTCACACACGCCTCGATGGGGAAGGCGATCTCTCGGCCACTGATGGTGAGATGCTCCTCCAGCGGCTTCCCAAAGGAGGGTTTCTCAACCCAGGCCTCTGAGGAGGAGAAGCAAGAAAGAGGTCAGTCAGCAGTTTGAGAAGGTCACTCACATTATCAATCTTTTTTCTTGTCATTCAGATTCTCCTAAGACTACCAAAAAAAAAAAAAAAATATATATATATATATATATATATATATATATATATAGCAGCCCAGTTGGGGATTGGGGATGAGGGAGAGGGTAGGTGGACAGCCGGCTGTATCCATCAGTGCTGGGGTTGATGTGACACACCCCTGATTCATCCTGGGTGGGGTTCGTGTTCGGATGTGCTTGACCTGACTACGACTGGATCGATACCATTTTACAAAGTTCTAGGGGCTCATCGAAATGTGACATGATTGGGTCAATCTTAAACAGTGACCAAAATGCAAGGAGATGGTCTCATCTGGGAAGGTAAGTGGGCTCCCCAGACTCCCCTCCCAGGGAAGGCATCTGCTTACCTTGTTGTGCTTTTATTTGAGGCAATACAGCCTGCAACAGTGTCAGTGACTTCCTGTGGTATTCAGCTTGCACTTCTATTAGCTGAGAAAAAACACAAGCAGAAGCATTACCCTGTGCTGAACGGCAGGAACACAGGCTTCTCTGTTGCACGTAGCAGGTTCTGCATGAAGGTAGTTACTCATGGGGGAGGGAGATGGAGCCCTCTGCTCCCTCCTCCAACCCATGTAGGATGATAGTCATGCTTCAGCCCGTCACAGCAGACTAAGAATTAAGACTCCTGCCTTTGAGAGGTAGGAGAACTATGAAAAAATAAGGGAGCTTCCCCAGAGCTGGAGCCTGGCTTAGAAAGCTTGGTCTTAGCCACCACCCTACCTTTCCTGCAATCCCATCCTATAAGCAAAAGGTAGCAAAAGAGGTACAAGAAAAGGTAATTATAAATGGGAAATACACTTAGAAGTTCATTTGCCTCTACAATATGTACAGGCTAAATCAATCTGTATATACATCTTCAATTTCTGCCAACTTAGTTTAACTTCAAGCTGATCTGAAAACATAAGCTGGACCTGGGATCCTCTTTAGGTCCACTGGGAGGTGAACTTGCTCTGACTGTCATGGTGCAGCCCGAAGAACAAATTCCTCATGGTGCTCTACTGTGATCATCCCATTAAATTAAAACACAGCTGACATGTGGATAACGGCAAGGGAAAACCCATGAGCAACAGTTACTTCATTTATTTTCAGAATCTCCTTCTCCTGTCCCCAAGAGTGGGCATGGAGGACAGAGGGGGAGGGAACAGCTCTGAATCCTTGCTGTGGAGAGGAAATACCAATAACACTGATGGAAAACTAATGCAGATTTTTTTTTAAACAAAGTTAACAGAATAAGTAAATAAATAGTACCCAAGGGACAATTAGACAATCTAATAAGGCTTGGAATGCTGATATTTTGTTGGTTTCAGAAAGTCTAAAGTCAAGTCTCACCTTCACAACTGAAACTGATAGAATGCACTTGGAAAAAATACTATTGTAAAATTAACTCTCCAAGTTGGGAATAATAGATATTAGCTCTTTTGCAGAAAGGAAGAAACACATGAATGTCTGGGCCAGTAATAAAAATGTTCTAAGACTGCTAATAGCACATAGCACTTCTACCATACTCCACACAGCACGTCTCCTTTTCAAGAATTCTCCTGTTTTAATTTTTACTCCCCTTCCTTATCATTCCATCACTTCCCTGATCATATAAAAAATAAACATATATAAGTATATGTGTGTATACAGACACACACACATGTATATGTATATATAGGCAGAGTGTGTGCTTTCTAGAGTTTTAGTCTCAACACAAGCAGGTGAACAGGACAATCTGTCATTTTGTACTACTTCTCTGAGGACTATTTTGTTGTTGTTGTTGTTGTTTCACTTGCTTTGCATTTACCCTGCTAAACAGCAAGAGTCCTCATTATCTAAACTGGATCATTTAAGTGTAGGTGATTCAGATCCTGTTTCTTCCTCTTTCTCAACTCTAAATCTGCTTCCATTGGTAAGAGGCAGGCAAACAGGTCACATATCAATCACTATTCGCCTATTTGCCACTACGGCAAAAACCTATATCAAAACCAGTGCTCACTTGGGATGAGGTGGTTATTTTCCTATTCTCCTCAAGACCCTTATTGTCCCAGACCAAGTTTTCTCAACATTGGTCCTACTAATATAATGGGGGAGTGGGCGAATCTCGGTGGTAGGGAGCTGCCCTACATATTGTGAGAAACTTAGCAGCATCCCTGGTCTGTCATCTACAAGATGACAATGTCCCTCCCTAGCTGTGATGATCAGAAATGCTTCCAAGCACTGCCAGATGTCAACTAGGAAAGGTAGCAAGATTGCTTTCAGCTATCATTCAGTGTAATTGATGACTGAACTGCAATAAATCCAGGGAGAGGCCTGGGTTTTATTCTTACCTTTTTGAAGAAACCCCTATAAGGAGTAAGGAAGGCAGAATATTCATGATAGAACAGTTTCACCCTTTTCCATGATGTGCTAACTAAGTGAGAAGCCTTGAGTTCCACGCCCACATTCCCTTTCTATTCACACCATGAATCTTGCTAACACTTTCATGCAATCTCACCTTTCTGGTCCCTTACCGTTTGAAAGTAGTTTGCATAGTCGATTTCTTTGGCCACAAAACTGTACATGTCAGCGGAGAGTTGGTCCTGCATAAGGTAAAATATAAAATAATAAAGTAACTAATGTCTAAGTCTGTACACCACAGGGGAAAGGAGCCTTAAACAGTTTCATCTCATTTTTAAATAATATTTGATATGTTACAAACTTTTTTTTCATAGGGACTTCCATGTTTTCCCACCACGGCTCTACAGAATGAGTGAGTTTGAAAAGTACACCTATGCCAATAGGTCCCCCTAGGGTTTTTAACACATGGGCCATGTCTGCAGTTAAAGTCAAAGCTGGTGTGGGAGCATGAAGTGCAAATGACATCCATACACCTCTGCAGCTTGTGCCACCATCCTGAAGCAAACTTCCTTCTCCTGCCCCAGCTCTCTTTCACTCTCAATCCTGATTACGTGATCATCACGATAAGGAAAGAGATGAAGGAAGATGCAGCAATTTAGAGAAAGCTTAGAAAAGACAGGTGCACGGGGAAARCATTGCTGACTCAACACCTGGCAAAACCTGGACTCATCCCACATTGCACACGAATCTCACAGCGTCCGCATCCCTTCATTATTCAGGTCTGCATGGGCTTGGATGGCAATGGCCTAATGCAGTGTTGGAATGTGGAATGCTTCATCCTTTGAGGAGAACCCTTCTAGGTTCCAGAAAAACAGGCATAACATTGTGTCATCAATGTTTATTTTGAGCAGGATGAAATCCTGTCACTCACAGTATTTCTGAGCGTGACCCTCCTCTGAACTTGTTTGTGCAACTCATATGACCTCTTAGGTGCTTGCCTGTTTGGCAGTCTTAGGTTGGCAATACTTAGAGGCAGTGGGTAACTGACAAGAGCTTACATGTTCAGGTTGAGCCAAACACAATGGTAGCCCAAGAAAACCACCTGGATGCTGAATAAACGAAAGCAGTGACAACATGCTTTTGGACAGACCCCGTGCCATGAAACCTCAAGCAATCTGTACCCAACCACAATCCTTAGCTTCTCCAATTAAGCTGATTCTCAGCAAAAACACCAGGATGTGTAGGAGCAACCTGTTTCATTTCTAGAATCCAGGACAAGCAAGCAGCTCCTGGGAACATCACTCAATAGTTCTTGTAAACTAGTCAATGGAACCAAGACACAGAACTGAAAGAGGAAATCTGTTCTCTGGGGATCTCTAAGCACCGATGAGACCAAGCTATGCATGAATGACCTGCACAGAATGAACAAAGAGAAAAAAATGAACGGACACTCATGGAGAACTTTCTAGGTGTGAAGCACAAACTTTCACCTAACCCTCTTAGGTAAGAATTAATTTTCTAATTTCAGGTCAGTAGGTTCCAAGTATTCAAGAATCTTATCTATTGACCACTGTCTAAAAATGCTTAGCCTAGTAGAAACTTCAAAACTATTTTCTAAATGAGGAAATTAAGGCTCAGAGTTGGCAAATTTCCAAAATACAATAAGCGCAAGACCACGTCAAACCTCTTCCCCCAGAGGACCCTTATTTGAAGGTCTCTGCAGACTGCCAAGTCTCTCCAAGGTTCCAGAGAGAGGATCTCATCTGGAATCCACTTCGTCTAACATCCCTGCAGAGCCTCATTCAGGAGACATACATCACCAGTCTCCCCRTTGGGAGGGAGATATTTTGAGCCAGAAAAACAGGGATAAAAATGGATCAGCAGACAGAGAAAAAGAAAAGAAGCCCCCAAAGACCTGGTGCTGCATCAAATACACTTTCAATTCCTCACCATCTGGGCCTCTCCCAGGACAATCTTAAAAAAATAAAATCAGTACGTTACTATGTTTTTAAAGTCACAATGCAGATTCCAAACAGGCCACAATACAAATAAGAAACAAGAATGGAAACTACAAATCTGCTAATTTTTTTTTTATAAAGAACAAAACCCCTTTCATCAATAATGACTAGAGTTTAAAGTATTGTTAAAAATCATTATTTTCTGATTTTGCAACTAATCTACACTCAGAATTTCTAATAGGAAACAAAGACCCAAGTTCATGGGCAATCTGAGCAGGCAGCAATCAATTGCCAACGTGGACATGAAGATGCTCATTTTGTTCCATTCTATCCAGGCATATCTTTTTTCTGATTGTTTGGTTTACCCCTCAAAAAAAAAAATGGCACCAAACTGCTTTTTTACCCCTAGAAAAACACAGTTCGTAATGGTGACATATTTTACTATATGAATGTGTTTCTCTTGTTGGAAATTACRGGGTTTTTTTGGTACTAGGAATTGAACTCAGGAACTCTCAAGCGCTGAGCCACATCCAGCCTTATTTTTGTATTTTATTTAGAGACAGGGTCTCACTGAGTTGCTAAGTACCTCGCCATTGCTGAGGTTGGCTTTGAACTCGTGATCCTCCGCCTCAGCCTCCCAAGCCTCTGGCATCTGGCTGGAAATTGTGTTTTTATTTTTTTCACCATTATAAACTGTATTTTTCTGGGAGGTAAAATGATCAAAAAAGCAGTTGGGTTCCATTTTTTGTAAACCAAGCAATCAGAAAAAAGATATGCTTGGATGAAATGGAGCAAATGAGCATCTTCATGTCCATGCTGATGACTACTACCTGATCAGTTTATTTTTTTGCTATTATAACAACTGGACAGATGTCTGTTCAGAAAGATTTTACACTCATCTCCTAATTAGTCCTCTATGACAAATTCTGCAGTTAAAATTTATTCTATAATTCTTGACAGTTAATTTAAACATATTAGAAAAATAATAATGTAATTGAAATACATTAAAAAGATAATCATGGATTGGAACCTCAGAGCTGTTGTTATGCACTTCTAAATACCCATTAGAAGGTCACTGTACTATAAAGAATAACTCAGGAGCTGGGGTTATGGATCAGTGGTGGAGTGCTCGTCTTCCAACGCATGAGGTACTGAGTTTGATCCTCAGCACCACATAAAAAAATAAAATAAAGATATCGTGTGTTCATTTAAAATTAAAAAAAAATAAACATTAAAAAAATAACTCAGAAGTATTTTGTTTTCCACAGTAACCTTTTCATTCTAAGAAATCACTATCAAATATACAGATGAAATCAAAATAAAACATGGTATTTTTGATCAAGAAGTTAGTTTCCGGGCTGGGGATGTGGCTCAAGCGGTAGCGCGATCACCTGGCATGCGTGCGGCCCGGGTTCGATCCTCAGCACCACATACCAACAAAGATGTTGTGTCTGCCGAGAACTAAAAAATAAATAATAAAAATTCTCTCTCTCTCTCCTCTCTCACTCTCTCTTTAAAAAAAAAAGAAGTTAAGTTTCCTTCTAGATTACGTTTTTCAACTTCTTTTATTATCCATAGTTAATTGCTCATCAATGCCAGGTGCTAATTTTCCTATGAGATTACTCATGTAATCCTTATTTATAAAGTCTGTAAGGATTCTTTTATTTATGAGACCATTGACTTATCAATATGCAAAGACTTCCCCCAATTTTCCATTTGCCTTTTAGGGAATTATCACTTTGGGAGAGTCACTGTACTTTATTCAAGTTTTATCTTATAGTGGTATCTATTAAAATTTTCTCTTTATAATTCATTCCTTTGGTAACATACTTAGGGCTTTACATATATATTATTTAGCTTTTGATTATATAAAGTTATATATATAGTAATTAACTAATTGCTGCAGACTCAATGTGGACAAGTCTGGAAAGTTAAGTAAGTCCTCCAAAGGGACCCAGGCATGAGAAGGCCCCACTTTTACCTCCAGGAGTTCTACCAGGTTCTCACAGTGAGTTTCAGAGAAAAGGAAAAAAAAAAAATTTAAAAACTAACCAGGGAAAAAAATCCACCAAGGGAAAGAAAAGTTACCTTTTTGAAATATGCCAGACCATTCTATTTTTTTCAACAAGGTCTGCCTGCAAGAGAAATTATTTTACCAAAGTTTAAACTACTGAATTGTTTTTTATTGYTGTTTTGTTTTCCAATACCTAACCACCTGAAGTGAAGGGAAAAACTCAGTTTCAGCTTCTTCTGGCCATTCTGTCCCACCTAAGAGGAAAATAAACTGCAAAGCCCTGGTGAAATTCACAATCCAGGTGCACACACTCAGCAAAAGATTGAGCCTCATCACAGGATGTAGACACATTCCCTTCTCCTATACCTTACCACCATATCACTAAAGGTCTGTTTACTACAGTTCCTTTTACATAGTACATCTTCTCTACCATTCAACAAAAAAATTATGAAGCATGCTAAAAAAGAAAAAAAAAAAAAACAAAAATCCAAAGAGAGTTAGGTCATCTGGTAAATTTCATATTACTTAAGGAAATTATACATCAACAAGATATAACAATCGTAAATATGTATGCCCCAAACAATGGAGCATCTACATACATCAAACAAATCCTTCTCAATTTCAAGAATCAAACAGACCACAACACAATTATACTGGGTGATGTTAACACACCTCTCTCACCAAACAAAAACTAAATAATAAAAACTCCTCCAAACAAAAACTAAATAATAAAACTATAGAACTAAATAATACAATCAATAATTTAGACTTTATCTAGAGAGTTAAGTATTTCATCCATCAATGGTTGAATATACTTTCTTCTCAGCAGCAAATGGATCCTTCTCTAAAACAGACCATATCTCAGGCCACAAAGCAAATACAAGAAAACAGAGATGATACCCTGCATTTTACCATATCATAATAGATGGAAATTAGAAATCAATGATAAAATAAAAAATAGAAGCTATTTTAACACCTGGAGACTGAATATTGAATGACCAATGGATAGCAAAAGAAGTAATAGATGAAATAAAAAATATACTTTGGAGGTAAATGAGAATAGCAATACAACAGATCAAAATCTCTGGGACATAAAGGCAGTTCTAAGAGGAAAGTTCATTGCATTGAGCTCATTCATGAAAAGAACAGAAAATTGCCAAATAAATAACCTAACATTACATCTCAATACCCTAGGGGGGGGAAAAAAAGAACAAATCGACACCAAAAGCAGTAGAAGTAAAAAAATACATTAAAATCAGAGCTGAAATCA